AACATAAAATAACACGTCTCCTATAAGCCCATAATGATTTTTATAATGTGAACCAATGAGTGCATAGAAAAACCCATTTGTGATTGATTCCAGCTACATGTCTGTGGGAGCTGGAGGCTGCAGTGAGGAGGTGGCACGTCTCACATCTCATTCACTTTGTATTAGATTTGTCTGTCCTCCATTATCCCCAAAGCTCGTTTATTTATTCGCCTGAAAACGCATGCATGTGTGACCATCAAATCTGCTTCAATCTGCGCCATCAAACGTGTCTACTCTTGTAAAAATTGTGGCCTGGGGCGAGTTCTGCGCAATTTACAAAAAAAAAAAAAAAATAGGGCTGAACAATTTCATAAACAGTGAACGTGGGATCATTCTAACACACTATTTCTTATAAATCGTGCATTTTGTAAGATATTGTGAACAAATCAGACCACACCCTGCCGTCTTCATTCTATCTATTGCATTCTTTAAGAAGCTATACACGATTTTTTTTCTAAGTAGTTCATAAAATCATTTTTACTACATACAAGTTGTATCATAATACATAATTTAATTGAAAACTTGAGGTAATTGATTCAGCGGTGTATGAGTTTAGGCCTTGAAAAGTGCTGAGTAGAGTCTTAGCGGGACTCCTCCTCCGCTCACAGAACAAGAAGCGAACAGCCTGCGTCCTCTAGCCCCTACAGCGCTGCTTAACACCAGGGACTTCAAAATTCGAATATAATTCTAAAATAAAATATATATATATATATATTCGAACAAATATTAGACAGCCCTTATAATTCGAAATGTAATTAATTGAGTGCAAATAAAATAGTTAGCTCCCAAAGGTTTCACCGGGACGTGCTAGGCAGGTAACAGCTTTTTTTGTCACATCAAAACAGTTTTTTTGTCATGAAAACGTTAACAGCAAATTCTGAAATCATCCGTGCATGTGTGTTAAGGATGTAGTTATATGTATACTGTATTGTCCGATTAACGTTTAATGGCGTTGATTGATTGATATGTATTTGTTTATTGAGCGTGGCTAGCTCGGCTAGCTCCGCTAGCTTCTCTACACAGACAAGTGTGCAGAGAAACTGCACAGTGTAGTGACAGGTGCTGATAGCTTATTGTACTTGCGGAGTAATGGCAGCATTTTACACACCTGAATTACAAACAGAGATTGCATTGTCAAAGGGCTGCGGTCATTATTGGTTTGAGAGTTCTGTTATCAAGAAAAAAATATCGGAAGAATTGCATTCAAGTCAATGAAGTGCTGCTGCTGTGAGGAGATGTATAATACATAGTTCCCACAGACCAATGAATGTCACATGACCTCCTCGGAGACGCCATCTTTGATGGCACGCTGCTGTGTTTGTGCATTCCATTAAACAGAAGAATGAGAATAAATGTAGATATTCAAACGCAAATTGGAAAAAAAGGGCAACTTTTGAGCAAATAATTGTATATTATTACAATGGCACCACAGTTTAACGTGCTACGGACATGTTTTACATATTTGATCAAATTATGCAGCAAAAATTAACAAGCAATGCAAACATTTCTCAAACTTTAGATTTAATACCAGTTGGAGCTCCATTTAATTATTTTAATTATATTAACAATTAATTTAATTAATGCTAATGCCACACGGACACTCTGGATTGCTGTTATTGTTTATTTCCGCGTTTTTGACCGTATGTTTTGGTGAATGGTGGGCAACTGATTTTTCCAGGCGTAAAGAGCAGTTTATTTTATGACACAGATCTTTTTACAGAAGCAATGCTGTTTGTGAACATTGTTTTAGCCCACCATAGAACTATTATTATCTATTTAATACATTTACGTTGCCCTCGAGAGCCTCGGACGCGACACCGATCCTCCTCATAATAAAGTAATCTAAATAATGAAACTCTCAAGTCACCAGATATCAGCATACACAAGTTAGTACTGAGTAAATTACGTCTGTCAACACATTATAAGATACGATACGCACCTGACACAAAGTGCTCCGAGCATATTCTTGCGTGTTTTGAGGGAGTTTCTTGCCTGTTTATCTTCGCAAGCCATAACCTCCGTGGTTGTTCTGACAAAAGCTTAGTCTTCTCACATTCATGAAGTCTAATGATGGGTATACTGTAAAATCCAAGTTTAACGGAACCTCCGGCACGATTTGAACATCCATTGACCCAGCAGGAGATGACCATTTTCAACTTTATCACGACATTAACACGTTTCAGCTTCTTTTTCTATTGTTTTGCCCACAGAATGCCAACACAAATATCGCCGGGTCGGCAAATCCCCGTATGTAGTGACGTCATGTAGGAACTATGTATAGGAGATGTATAATATAATTAAATATTAGAATATTTCTAATGTTTAAATTAATGCATTCGGACGCGAAACTAGCGGTATTCTTTTACTTTTATATTGTGTTAGCAGTGCGTTGCTTTAGTGCCCTTTCATCAGTGATTGTTGTACAGCTTACAAGAAGTTGCGCTAATGCTAATGTTAGCATATGTATCAGATCGCAAATAAAACTAGGTGGCTCCGTGGGATGAGAGCGTCTGGGAAATGAGAAGCCTGTGAGCGAGTTGGGTGGCGGTGCTAAACAGTCAAACATTGCAGAAACGGGTCTAGCGCCTTTAAATAAGTATTGGCCTGAGGTGAGTGTGGCCCTCTCTTTTTCACGTTTGTGTCTTGAGAGGTTGATCTAAAGAGGCCAAAGAATACATGCATTTAAAAGCTACTGATAGATGCAAACTGTTTTGAAAGCTATTTTCCAAAACACCAATGAATTATTTGCAGTGGGTGATACAAAATGAATTGATTTGCTTTGATCAATGTTCCATTTTTCAACATTTATGGACATTGGTCTCTGCCCCTAATGGACCAAAGGCTCTATGTGTTTTTATAAACCATTGCATTTCTTGTGTTTGAACTGTTTAATTCCCTGATCTCCGTTGGCGAATACGGTTTTGTTCAAAGAGCAGTATTTAAAAATCTGGCCAAAAGTGGTTCTGCAACTTCTCTCACTCTCCATGACTCAGGTTGCCAGATATGCAGACAAATCCAGCTGGGACCATAATAATACTAATAGACAAGACCGAATAGACGGTTTTGTCAACAACACATCTATAACAAACACCTTTTTCACAAAGGCCTGATAGAAATCCTTGTTTTATTCCTTGTTTTATCATTAATGGTTTGAGAATCATCACGAGCCTTTTTTTTTTATTGTACTGCAGCCACATATGTACCACTATGACACTACCTTTTAAATCAAAAGCACATCCCACTTAGCGATTTCTCTGGTGAAATGGCATACTTTACAATCACATGGGTGTGTTTGCAGTCGGTGATTTTCAAATTTGTAAACAAATAATAAATAAAACAAAACAAAAATAATAATTATAATTCAACATCATTCTACATAAATCAATTTATTGCACTCTTCAGACTTGTTTACTACTATATTTTCCACTTTTTCACAAAGGCCTGATAGAAATCCTTGTTTTATTCCTCATTTCATTAATGATTTGAGAATCATCACGAGTCTTTTTTATCGTACTGCAGCCACATGTTACTTTACCAGTGAGATAAGCTGGACACAGTGAGTTCTGGCAACCCGGATCACACACTTTCTGAACTTTTCCTCCGAGATAACTACTGTTGTGATTGAATTGAATTAAATTAAATCAATGTATTAGTGTAAGAATGTTGCCTGTAACTGTAATCTGATTAGATTTTCAGGGCTGACATCAGTGACCGGGGGGCGGAGCTTCTCTAATGTGATCAAATGAGCAAGATTGTGTTGACTGGAAAAGGGAAAACTTTGAGGCTGTTTTTCTCAGATTCTCAGTGATTATAATTTCAAATGTTATTTGGAAATCTCTTTGGAAAACTTACACTTTACACTTTCAGAATCTGTGAAAACCTCAATAATCCTCTGGGTAGACTTTTTCTTTGTTTTGTTGTGTGACTGGTCACATAAATACATGAATTTATCCTAGTCACAAACAAACACATCTATAATTTGAGTTCAACCCAAAAGCACTTAATGGAAGTGCTTTGATAGAAGATTGAAATACGATCCGTTGAACTTGTACAAAAACTCCGCCCATTGCAATAGAATAATCATTAACAAATAATTTAATATGTTGGTGTTTGAGAGGACTTTTAAAAATGCCAGCTTTTGCAATTTGCCTGACGTGGCTTTATGGAGAGAAATTACATTTAAATCTGACCTAAGACTTCTGAATGAGAGTGCACATGTTTGGAATTATGTTTGCATGTTGTGTGTGCGGTTGCCAGCTGGAGCTAAATGTTAATGTTCATTGGAGCTAGCAGTAGCACGTTAGGGCAGTCAGGACGTCCATATGGGGCCCTCCTGCTCTGCCGCGGGGCCCAGGACAAAGCAAGAGACATTTTAGATCAAGTATTTTCACATGATTTCAGCTGTTGTTAAAGAGATGTGCGTTTACTTTATGTTTGGAGAAGAGATGTCGGAATCACATCACATACACTGCACCGGGAATATGTCACTAAAAGACACAAGATAGTGCTAAAGAAGGATAAAACAAATCATTTTTAAACCATTTTCAGTACCTTACTTGCTAATAAGTTTAACCTCAGGCACAACCGTGTCCTTCCACCCCTTTAGTCCAATTGACTTTGTTGTGATTTTATCCAAATGAATCGTCCTGTTTTTTAGGTTGATTTTGACATAAGTATATGTGTAGTCATCAATTTAGAAATACATTTATTTCTTTTTTTTACTATCACGATATGGACAGATACCATTATACTGTAACCCTGCTTTCTTCTTTCTGCATATTGGAGAAATTCTCCAGTTAAATAAACTTCCCATTTCTACCACTCAATGTGGTTGTTTGACTGATCCGTCCCTTTACTTTATCCTCAAACACATTTTGTATGTACTATATATATATATATATGTATAAAACACAAATACTGGCTCATATTTGTACGTGAACATGCAGTGGTCTGTGTTTCAGGATGAACGAGGAGCAGATTGCCACAGTGTGCCTGTCGGTGCTCAGAGCGCTGTCGTACCTCCACACTCAGGGCGTGATCCACCGGGACATCAAGAGCGACTCCATCCTGCTCACCAGCGACGGCCGGGTACGCACCGTGAGCCCCTCTGTCCCATGTTCTGTGGGGTAGAAACAAACTCGTCCCACTGAAAACATAAATCTGAAGTACACTCCCACTGTGAGGGAAATCCAGGATATCACTTGTATTATTCATGTGTATAATGGTGCAAAAAATAAGCATTTTACCAATAACAAAAGTTAAAGTCAATACTTGTGTAAACCTTCATCAGGTGTACACACACTTTAGCTAGTATTTTGGCCCATTCTTCCATGCAGATCTTCTATATTGCTGTGATGTTTTGGGGCGAATTTCCTGTTGGGTTGAGCTCTGGAGACTGGCTCTTCCACTACAGGACCTTGAAACACAAGGTGGAAGTTGTCCAAACCATAATGTTTCAACCACAGACTGTAAACGGACGTAGTCACGCCTATCTCCGCCGTTCTAACTAATGTGCCACAACTTCTGCGGTCTATGGAAAGTTTCAAAATGGCCGCGGTCTAAAGTGGAAAACTTCAGACCGGCCTGGGTCTGAGCTTATGGGCACAGTGAAGCATGCTGGTTTGACAACAACAAGTTTGACACAATCGAAAAAGACAAAATAAACGTTCTAAATGTAGACAGTAGACTGTCGCCCCACAGGTTTTTTCACCACCAATACCAATAATGAGGAGACCAATAACTGATAAATAGAGTTCAGTAAAGGTGAAATACACGCTCCAACACTTTGTTTAAGTGACTGAAAGATTATAGCTCTGATGGATGGAAAGATTATATAACTGGATGGATCTCCCAGGTAACAGATAGTATGTGATTTTATCCAAATGAAATGTCCTGATATTCAGTAAATGTTGATCAAAACAAATTAAACGTTTTATATATTTTCTAACCTGGACTGGCCTAAACTCATCAGTTCCAACACATATTTTCCCCTTACCTTCCTCCACGCTCCCTCTGACCTATGCTCTCAATCTGAAACTTACATTACAGTGATAATGTACCAGTGTTCCCTGTGACGCCTACAGTCCCATGTTTCTGTCAGCGCTGACCTTCTCCACGTCAACAAAGTCTGCCACATCATCGCCCTAAATTATGCACTTGTACCACTGTAATTAAATGCTCTAATGTCTCGGCGCCTGATAAGACATGATTAATTGACGAATAATGAGGCGCCTAATATAGAAGATTAGAGGATTTCCTGAAAGCTCTTGATGGAAGAAGGTCACCGCTCTTCTGGCTGGAGTGAGATTTTGTGGTCAGACAACGAGGTTTTGGAGAATGAACTGCAACGTAATCCCATCACAACTTACTACGTTAGCCCTTCGTCCAATCATCTCTTCACTAGTTCATGTATTTAATTATACTTCCACCCCCATCAATCAGCCTGTCGCCTCAGGCCTGGTTAATGCGCTCTATACGCATTCATTCATCAAGGAACTGGTCGGTTTTTCAAGTTTATGAATTAAAACCACTTAGAATGCTCTGGTATATATATATTTTTTTTTCATGTAGTATTCTTATAAATATATACATACATAATAATTGTACGGAGGTTGGATAAATACCAAATGTGGTTACTGATACTACTGAACCATACCATGAAATTCTTATATTGTATTTGAAAAGTGTTGTTTACATATTTGTGTGCACCATGAGCTTGAGGTCATAGAAAAAGTGGAAAGATCTCATTGTTCATCCTGATGGTGGTTTGTTTGCAGATCAAGCTGTCGGACTTTGGCTTCTGTGCACAAGTGTCCAAAGAGGTGCCCAAGAGGAAGTCTCTGGTGGGGACTCCGTATTGGATGGCCCCAGAGGTGATCTCCCGGCTCCCGTACGGCACAGAGGTGAGAGCTCTACAGCCGCAGACATGTGGAAAACACCTGTAACACACTTTATATTGACCTCCTGTTGAATACAGTACAGTACACTCGAACTGTACTCCTACAGCAGTACAACTACAGTACTACTACAGCAGTACTCGTACTGCACTCCTACAGCAGTACTCCTAAAGTACTCCTACAGCAGTACTCTCAAGTGTCTCTCGTTAATGCAGCTAATGTAGCAGTGACATCATCACACTTTGCCAAAAAGATTTTCTTTCCTTCAGTGCGACATCTACAGAACTTAAGAGTAGAAGGCCGCAGACTTGCGTCATCATTAAAGTGTCTGTAAGCGGTGCTGGTTGTCATGGTTTCAGGTGGACATCTGGTCTCTGGGCATCATGGTGATCGAGATGGTGGATGGAGAGCCTCCGTACTTCAACGAGCCTCCTCTGCAGGCCATGAGGAGGATACGGGACAACCTGCCTCCTCGACTCAAGGACTCTCACAAGGTACTGACTGCACTGGGTCCTGGTCCTGGTCCTGGTCCTGGTCCTGCGCTCATGCGCCGCACAAATACTCCCAAAACATCATTGTTTTCTTTAATTAAAGTCAGAGCTTTTTTAGTTCCGCGGCTACATGTTACTTCACCAGTGAGATTAGCTTGACGTGGTGAGTTCTGGCAACCCGGATCACAGACTTTCTGATTGGTAAAACAGTGGAGGGCGGGACATCGATTTAGGGGCTGTAAATCTAATGTTTAAATCCACATATATCGGCTGAACTACTGTTATCAGTTAAAGAAGTATTCAAAAAGAGCATGGTTTAATTATGCCTTTTGACAGATTAGGGCCGTTTAATGATGATTTTAGATATTGCTACTTTAAGGGAAAAGCTCAACCAGGGACAGGAGTTGAAAATTAGCATTAGCTATCTGCGCTTTGTATGTGTCGCATCAGTTGCTTCTTTCCTGCTGTAACTATGTCCCTGTCAAATAAATAAAATCAATATAATCAAAAAAATAATGAAAATTGCTGAGTAACTCTCCCAACACACTAATTATCCTCCCTCGTCCGCAGGTTTCATCCGTGCTGCGCTCCTTCTTGGACCGAATGCTTGTGCGCGAGCCGTCCCAGCGCTCCACGGCCCAGGACCTGCTGCAGCACCCCTTCCTTAAGATGTCGGGACCCCCCTCCTGCATCGTGCCCCTGATGCGCCACTACCGGCACCGCTGACCACACCCCCCTTCAACCTGGGACACTTCCACATGAACCCTGAACCGACCCAGCTCCACCACTGCGGGCCACGCACTGCTACACAAAGCTGGGGACTCGCACTAACGTTGTGTAGACTATAGCTCCAAGATATTTAAAGACACGAAGAAGAAGAAGAAGAAGAAGAAGACCTGATCCAGAGGCGCAGACACGTGGACGCTTGATGCTGCGCTGTAAAGAGGAAGAATGGCTCTAATAATAATAATAATAGTAGTACCTTCCTTAACTGACTCTTCAATGTAGAGTTGTGATAGCCATCGGTCTCAAAACGGACTACGTCGTTGCTGTCAAAATGTATTTTAGAGAGGCGATTTCTCCTGTACAGTTTTGATAATTGCAATATTTTATCGTGTCGTAACCATTGTGATATGAGCAGTATTAAATCTATAGAGTTTCTTGCAGAGATCTTTTTCCTACTGTTTATATAATCCAACTTTTTTGCTCAAAGATTATCGTAGAAAAATGCAAGCTATCCCAAAAAGAGACCCAACTTAAGCTAAATGTTATGGAAAGTGCTAGATATATTTATTCTAATCTTCACCTTTGTAGACAGGACTTCCACTTTTTTTGTCGAGGGGTAAAAAGCAGTTTTGTAAGACGTTTGCGAATATTATTTATTTATTTATCGTTTTGTTCCGGGTTTTTGTTTGAATTTCTGCTTTATTTTGTGTGTTTTTTTTGTTTTTTTTGGTGTTACGTGGACATGTCAGTTTGAAACGTTGGCAAAGAGCGGATTCATTGGAGCAATATTCTGGTTTAAAAGTAACATTGTACCATTTAAGATGCTGTAACAGACTCGATGCATTTCAATGTAGCACAGACGGTGATTCTATGCCAACCTGATTTTTTTGATAATAGAATTTTCCATTGTCGGTCTAAAAAACTGCTCAAAAGGACGACGCACACATTTTTAGATCGCTTTTTGTAACTCAAGCTGCAAAAACGACACATTTACGTGAGTTAAAAAATGACTGAGAGATTATTTTTGCTTGTTCTTAATCAGGGGTCTCCAACCTTTTTCCCACAGAGAGCTTCTTTTTCAGTACAAAATACTGTCAGTACTGTAGAATGGTGACATGCCTTGGATTCTTTTATGTGCATCTAACTTTAACCAACCTATGATCAATATTTTAGTCTCAAATTACCTATTTTTTATTTGATTAATTTGTATTGGTGCACTGTAATCCCTACAGTAGTTGCAGGCATGGGAAAAAAATTCAATTATTGAGGAGATGTCAATTTTTGAGTAGCTAGTAGGAAAGATGTGGCAAGGGACTGCCATCTGCAGAGCTACAGGTTGGAGGCCCCTGTTCTAATGGTTTTTAGAGTTGTCACTGTTTTTTTTCTCACAATTGTCGACAATTACTGCATTTTGGTTTCATTTGTAGATAATGAAAATGACTTGAAATTCAGCCTTTCTTCTTCATTTCAGTTCTACTTTTGTTCTATTTGCATCAATTTCGTGTGCTAGAACAGGGGCCTCCAACCTGCAGCTCAGGAGCCACCGGTAGCTCCCCAAAGGACGCAGACATTGCACATACTTTAGATTTCAGTTTGATCATTATTCAGATGCCTACAACATCATGAGCCAGTACTTATATTAGATGGTTCTATGCTTTTCCACCATCACCGTAGGCTTCCAAACAAAATGCCAAATACAAAAGATAAAGCATTGTTTGGATTAGTTATTCATTTGTAATATGTATTTATATTCATTTGAATTGGCATCTACAGCATTTACGTGTGTCCCCAGATAACAGGTCAACGTGTACAAATCATATTTGACCTTTTTCTGAGCAAAGGTTTTTAATTTAGACTATTGTTTACAAAAATAAAATAGTACATAATACATCATACACAGGGTTTGTACTGTTTCTAGCTAAGCTCCAGCAGGTGGATTGCATCAGTGTCACAAGCAAGGTGATTCTGGCAACAAAAGTGTGACTGTAATTGTACTGACTGTATTATATCAATATTTACATATTACATACAGTCCCTTTAAGTACATTCTGACTGTCATGAAATAAAATTGGAGCTTGAGTCTTCTTCAAGCAGAATCGCTTCCTCTCCATATTTTTGTGAGAGCAAGGAACTTTTTACACGACTAATGAATAGGTTTGAAAGTTAAGTACGCTTTAAAGAAGTAGCTCTCTGCCATTTCTGCTCTGAAATAAAAAGATCTGCTATTTTAAGTAATAATCGAATATGGCGCGGCTTAGAGCCCGAAACAAATACATCTAAAGAACATCCTCTGAAATTCCTACATCTAATTTGTAAGCAAAACTTTTGTTTTAAAAGAAAAGTTGGGGTTGGGCCCAACATTTTGGGTGGGGCATAATCACAAACATGTTTGTCATGTTTACCACCAGAAACATCGATTTGATGCTGTGCTGTGAGGTCATAGAAGAACAGCACTTATGTGAGTCTAAGAATTAGATTTTACTGTAAAAAATAAACTCCACATAATATCTCCAAAATACCTGGTGTAACAAGTATCGAGGGTAAACACTATCGGCCTGCCCTATCTCTATGCTACCACCAGAGGGGAGTGTTGAATTGTTTGTTTGTTTTTTCAAATTTGAACACTACCTGCTGCAAACTCAATGTTCATCTTAACAACCAATCAGAGAGCAGCACTGCAGTGCAGCAGTGCAGGCGTTACAAGCCGGTCAGCGCAGGATGAGGAAGACCAAACAAGAGCTGTACTAGGATTAAACCAGGAGTTGCACATTTACATGTGACATGCCAGAAGTTCCTGATAAAAGCATAGACGGATCTGAAAACAACTCATGAGGGAAGAATGTTGTATAAAGGTAAAACATTTTGCATTTTATGTCTCCTTTTAAAGCAAAGAACGCCAGATGTTCCTTGCATTCAACTCTCGGTCTGTTTTGGATGTGGGAAGAATGTTTCAAGTTTAAAATTTCAGTTAACGTACATTTATTTTGTATAGCCCTAAATCACAACAGTAGTTATCTCGGAGGGCTTTACAAAGTTGTAAAGCACAGATCAGCCCACAAATCAGAGAATCAAACATATCAATGATAGGAAATGCAACAATGAAAACTCATAGAGCCATTGGTCCAGAAGAGGCGGATGACCAACGTCCATAAATGTTACGTAACAGATGTCCATAAATGTAAACAAAATCCTGCATCATCACCACTGCTCTCAGACCCTCCTGCATCGCTACGGAATAACTCAAAAGACCAGTGGGAACAAAGTGAGAAGTCTCGGGGGGGTCCACCTGGAGAGACGGGCTCGCTCCCACGGATGGACTGCTGTAGATCCAGGGCTCCGGCCGTAAACAAACAAAACAATTACACAAGCATTTGTTGACTTTTCTTTCGTAAAAGTAGAATCCTCAAGTCATTTATAAACTCAAGTTTTTGCAATTGGTCGTCCTTTTGCCGTCTCACAAACCTTGCTGCCATTTGTGCGTGTGTGTGCGCTTGAGTGTGTGTGTAAAGTGGGGGGAAAAAGTACTCAGTCAGCTACCGATTGTCATTTTTGTCATTTTCATCACAAGTGTACAGAAAATATGAGAGACAACATTAAAATAATTAAATAATATTAAATGAAGGATATCTGGTGGCTGACTTAATCGTTTTTTTCCCCGCTGTAAGTGTGTGTGTGTGTGTATGTGTGTGCATGTCTGTGTGTGTGTATGTACACGGTCCCGCCCTACACTGTGATGGTAAACAAGACGAGTGTGTGAGAATATTTCTATCTGATCGACTGTTACTACGTGTGTGTGTGGGTGCGTGTGTGTGTGTGTGTGTTTGTGTGTGTGTACAGTGATATTGCATGTTTGTGATCAGTGATGCTGGTTCCAGTTCAAATTAAAAAGGCCCATAAACAACACAACTGCATGGATTTATTTGAGTTACTGTACGTTGTTGGTTTATTGTCTTTGTGAGAGGAAGGGTGGGGGGCAAACGTGTGTACTTTATGTTCTGACAATACTGTATATGTCAAAATGTGAGTTCTTTCTTGATTCCAGGAACGGGGTTAGAAACGTGGTCCAAATGCAAAGATCCATCCGTCTTCTTCTTTTACTCTGATATAACCTGTTTGAGATCCTAAATCCAGGTTAAAGCTTAGGTACCTAACTTATGTGTTCAAATCCATGCTCCTCGCTTTCGATACAGGTTTTATTTTCACATGCATGTGTTTCCACTTCTTTAGATCAGACTCACAGGTTTCTGTTCCCAACATTTTGGGTAAAAAAGCACCCAGTATTCATGGAATAAACATTCATAGCATGGGACAATATTCACCTCTGTATTATGTCATTTTTAGGCTTTTAGCTTAAGTTGAATACAAAATAATTATCATCTGCAGAATGGCTGGCTCTTAGAGATACAGTGAGTCGCATGGGAGGAGCTTAGAGTAGAGCGCTGCTCCACCACATCAAGAAGATTCGGGTAGGACCCCAGGATGAAGCTGACAGATTCTGAGAAAAGATCTGTATTTGTAAGAAAACAGTAGATTCCAGACACCACTAGTGTGTGTGTGTGTGTGTGTGTGTGTGAGTGTGTGAGCGTGTGTGAGTGTGTGAGCGTGTGAGAGTGTGTGAGTGTGTGTGAGTGTGTGAGTGTGTGTGAGTGAGTGTGTGTGAGTGTGTGAGTGTGTGTGTGTGAGGGTGTGAGTATGTGTGTGTGAGTGTGTGAGTGAGTGTGTGTGAGGGTGTGAGTATGTGTGTGTGAGTGTGTGAGTGAGTGTGTGTGAGGGTGTGAGTATGTGTGTGTGAGTGTGTGAGTGAGTGTGTGTGAGGGTGTGAGTATGTGTGTGTGAGTGAGTGAGTGTTTGAGTGAGGGAGAGAGAGAGAGAGTGTGTGTGAGTGATCACAAGAGTAATCTTTATTTATATAGCGCCTTTCACAGACCAGAGTCACAAAGCGCTTTACAATGTGTTGTTTTTGGAGCATGTTGTCCCCGCTCCGCACAGAGATGGGAGGCTTTGGCTTTTGGGGTCGTTTTGAACCATCTGTGTTCAAAGCACTGTATGAATGAAATGTGTCTGAGTGATGGACTTGTGGACACAGGTTTGGTCGTAGCGTCCTGGTGATTTGTCGCTCTTCCTCCGCGGCGGTTTCCACTCACACTCTGTAATAGAATATCGATTCATCCAGACAGAGACAGAGCTGCTGCTTCAGACAGAGGCTGGACAGCACCAGGCCTCAGGCTCCAGGAGCCTCTCCCCCATGAGCTCCACAGGGAGAGAAAGGCCTCACTTTCCTGTTCATGAATGATCCATGTTGTTTGTTGTGAGTCTTGTGGAAGTCAAATATTGATGAACAAATTCGATCACAACATGCTGTCTATGTCTCACTAGAAAACTATACAATATAACATTTATTTTGCTTACAGCTGATTGGCTGAGTGGGGGTGGTCCACTCTTTTTCACTTTTCAGTTTGAAAATGCTGATCTACTCTAAATGTTGATGGAAGAAAAGTGAAAATATTGCGGCCATATCTGCATGTGAAAGGCAAATACCGTCAGACCTCTGTAGCTAAGCAGAGCAGGGTGTTGTTACTACTGTGATGGGAGACCTCTGGGAACACCAGGTTCCACAGTGCTGTGGCTGTAAAGTGCCAAACTATTATTGTGTCCTCAGGCAAGACACTTCACCCAAATTGCCTAGAAGGAGTCTAGTGTGTGTGTGTGTGAGAGTGACTGGTTGCCTCGCTTCTGTCAGTGTGCCGCAGGACAGCTGTGGCTACAATAGAGACTCCAATACTGTGTATGGAGTGAAAGCAAAATGTGAAGCATCTAAAAATGGAGGACATATTTCCATTCTGTGTGTCTTGAAAATGTTGGTACCTCAGCTAAAATATATAGTGGTGTACAACCTTGCCACCCACCAGGACTAAACCAGGACAAAACCAGGACTAAACTAAAGTCTACACAAGACCAAACTGAGCCAGTTTGTGCGGCACAGTGGCTGAGTGGATAGCAGTCTCTCCTCTCCGCAAGAAGGTCCTGGGTTCGAATCCTGGACGGACCAGGGCCTTTCTGAGTGGAGTTTGCATGTTCTTCCTGTGTCTGCGGAGGTTTCCTCTGGGTGCTCCGGTTTCCCGTACCATTAAAAACATGCACAACAGGTCTGGCATGCGCCTCCTGTACTGGCGACCCCGCTCCCATCTCTGTGTGGAGTGAGAGACAAATGCCCAAAAATAACAATTGTAAACCGTTTTGTGACTCTGGTCTGTGAGAGGCGGTATATAAATAAACATTACTTACTTACAAATAGATAAAAATATGAACGCAGATTGGGAGTCTGTTCTGACGGCGTCACTGTAACTCCAGGGATACCTATTGTGTTGCCAGATCCTGACATAATCCACGCCCACTGGCCTCGAAGGCTGAGGGTTATAAATGTGTTTTCTGGGCTGGTTTGTGGCTGACGCTGACGTGAAGTCGATTGTCCATCAGTTAAGGAGATATACGTGACTGCATGTCCTGTGTTGTCCCCAGACCTGCACTCTGGAGGAAAGACTATTGATATTGTAAAGGTTTTTTTTTTTTTTTTTTTTTTTAAACATGACAGAATGAAAATCAACAAAAATTAAAAGTAGTGACACATTCTTTTCTTTCTTCAGTAAAAGTATAAAAGTACAAGCTTTTTATGCCATATTCAGTTACAAGGTCAAAAGTAAATTTAATGGATTAAATAATAGCATTAATGGATCCACAGCCTCAGTCCTGGATCTACAGCCTCAGTCCTGGATCTACAGCCTCAGTCCTGGGTCTACAGCCTCAGTCCTGGATCTACAGCCTCAGTCCTGGGTCTACAGCCTCAGTCCTGGATCTACAGCCTCAGACCTGGATCTACAGCCTACAGCCTCAGTCCTCGGTCTACAGCCTCAGTCCTCGGTCTACAGCCTTAGTCCTGGATATACAGCCTTAGTCCTGGGTCTACAGCCTCAGTCCTGGATCTACAGCCTCAGTCCTCGGTCTACAGCCTCAGTCCTGGGTCTACAGCCTCAGTCCTGGATCTACAGCCTCAGTCCTGGGTCTACAGCCTCAGTCCTGGATCGGATCTACAGCCTCAGTTCTGGATCTACAGCCTCAGTTCTGGATCTACAGCCTACAGCCTCAGTCCTCGGTCTACAGCCTCAGTCCTCGGTCTACAGCCTTAGTCCTGGGTCTACAGCCTCAGTCCTGGATCTACAGCCTCAGTCCTCAGTCTACAGCCTCAGTCCTTGGTCTACAGCCTCAGTCCTCGGTCTACAGCCTCAGTCCTCGGTCTACAGCCTTAGTCCTGGGTCTACAGCCTCAGTCCTGCCCTAACAATATCCCAGAACATAAATAACATTGTACTGATGAACATGTTATCGTGATATTTAAATCAAATAACAAAAACAAGCGAACACCATTGATTCAGTTGTTTATTCTCGGTGAATCAAACACCGCATCGGAGGGTTGTGCATAGACTCTTTTCTGGAAAATTCACACACATTTTCTCTTCTTCAATAATTCAAATTTACACTTATAACCTCTCATTTTTTTGTACAGTGACATTCAGCACAAAAGGGTCGTGTCTCATTCATTGCGAGTTTGAAACGACCCATAAACCAGTGGAGGACGGAGAGAAAGCCAAACCAGAAAAAAAATGGCAGTGTTATGGTAAAAATGTGAGAAATACCACTGTTCTACTACACAAGACGTCCACACAACACAATGGCGGCATTCGAATGAACACAGAGCTCTTCGAATGAACACAGAGCTCTTCGAATCAACACAGAGCTCTTTGAATCAACACAGAGCTCTTCGAATCGACAGAGCTCTTCGAATCAACACAGAACTCTTCGAATCGACAGAGCTCTTCGAATCGACAGAGCTCTTCGAATCAATACAGAGCTCTTTGAATCGACGCAGAGTTCTTAGAATCGACACAGAGCTCTTCGTATCAACACAGAGCTCTGCTCAAGGAACAACTGCAGACATTTAAAACACGGTCATTTCCCGATCGTGGTTTGAGTAGTTCTGACTGCTTTTGGGCGGATATCGGCTTCATTTGTAACCACTAAAGTTGGGAAATATGTATAAATAATTATACTTTTCAGATAAATATTAATACATATTTTGATTTGTTAATATTGATTACCATTTTTTCCCGGTAGTAAAAAAATATCTATTTTTGATTATAATAACAATCAATCTTAAATTCACCAATAGTGTAGTATTTTTGTTAAATTAGGGGCCAAAAACGTCACAAAATAAATAAATGTAAGAAATATTTTTTATGGAATCCTATACATCTGAAAGTATCCAGATACTCAGATACCCAGCCATTTACCCAGAATTCTGTTTCTCAATTCTGTCATTTCTGTTTGATAGAAACCAATCATTTTGCTTCTATTGTTAGTTTTCACATGTTTTTTGGTCAATCAGCTCTCAGTCCGAAGCTCAAACCATACCCATCACTACTAAACCAGGACTAAACTGAATCAGAACTGTTTTATTTCCATTTCTGCCTCAAGAAAAACTTTCCAATTAGAGTTTTTCCATTGACGAGCAGAATTTCTTCACATTGTAACCAATTCAAGATACATACAATCATTTTAACATTTTATGATTTAGTCCAAACTACTCAAAACGGCTGAGAAAGGGTCTTTGTCGTGGAGCAGAAGTCAAACAGGAGACAGCAGCTACTTGAGAAAAGAAAATACAGCCTCAACCTTTTTTTTATGATTACAAGTTCAGAAAAATAAGCTTCTCTGAGTTAAAGGGGACATATGATGCTTCGATCTTTTCCCCACACACGGTCTTTCTGGACTTAGAATTCAACCTCCAATCAAGAAAAACTTTTTATTTCCTTTTAAGCCCCTATAATGGACTCATAAACATCTAATCTTATATTACAAAAGTTGGTTTATTCGGAGGGCTATTTCATAATGTATAAAATCTCTTTTTTATTATTATTATTATTATTATTATTGCTGGCAAATCCATGTAACTCGCATTAAGACATTACATTTTCATGCTTGGAATCAAAGATAATTGGTCAGAAACATCTTGAAACGACTGAAATAATCACAATTCAGGAAGTAATTAACACAGAAGTGAAAAACAAGTTCAGAATTAAAGCTGGGGTACGTACGTTTCGACACACAAAAATAGAACAAATCCATCAAACTCTCAAAACAGTATTTCTGTATCGTATTGTATTTTTTGATTTGCTTTTTCAGACAGGAAAAGGAAACAAAAAAAGGATCACCCTCACTCAGCCAATCAGCTCTCACCCCAGAGTGTCCAACAGCGAAAAAACATGGATTAATGATGAAACCAAAAAGCGAGGTACCCCAGCTTTAATGCATGTTGTATTTTTTTCATTTTTGTTATAGCACAGAATCTTGCACTTTCCCGGCAATTCAACACCATCTCCATGAGGCTGATTGAACCACGATACCTCCCCTTTAACGTGTGCATAAATCTATGGCCTTGGTATTCTTGCGCGCACACCTTCTCACATGTTCTTGTAGAGAGAGCGGTCCCGGGGCAGCTGTGGCGGCGGCGGGGTGCTCAGCTTCAGGTGGAAGTGATAAATGACCAGAGTGATGACGATGATGAGGGCCAGGATCACCCCCAGAACGATAGGCAGGGTTTCCTCCAGGCGCTCCCGCTGGTCCGTGATGCACTTGTACGCTGCAAACATAAACAGCAAAGCAGCAACATGATCTCTCTGTGCTCTGTTCCAAGAGGCCGACTCTGTACCAATAAAAAAGAGAAAATATTGCACGTGTCCCAGAGGACCAGAACGAGCCAAACGTCTTCCATGAATTGCTGCGGTTAAATTAAAGTATGTGTCAAAGAGAAAACCCATTGAACTGAATGTGTTACTGTCTCAGAAACTCAGGGCCCAGGGTTCATGTGGCGCGTTCATGTGGTCGGATTCATGTGCGACAAACCAGTGAGGACCGCAACCACACGCTGCAAACACACACCTCAACCACACCGCAAACAACGCTGAAAACACACACCGCAAATACAGTACACACCGTAAACTTTACTGCAACCACACACTGCAACCACACCGCTAACACACACCGCAACCACACCGCAAACAACGCTGAAAACACACACCGCAAATACACACCGTAAACTTTACTGCAACCACACACTGCAACCACACTGCAAACAGACACCGCAACAACACACCGCAACCACACACAGTAAACACACACCGCAACAACACACCGCAACCACACACAGTAAAAACATACCGCAACAACACACCACAACCACACACAGTAAACACACACCGCAACAACACACCACAACCACACACAGTAAACACACACTTCAACCACGCTGCAAACACACACCACAACCACACTGCAAACACACAGCAAACACACACCGCAAGCACACTGCGAACACACACCACAACACACCGCAACCACACTGCGAACACACACCAGAACAACACACTGCAACCACACAGTGCAACCACAAGTAAGTAAGTAATCTTTATTTATATACCGCCTTTTCACTGCACATCGGAGTCTCAAAGCGGTTTACAATTGTTATTAAAGGACCACAACCGCATGGTCATTTTTAGTTCCTGTTTTATTTTGTATTTTCTGTGTCTTTTTGAGATTTACTTCCTGCCACGCCCTCATGTGTTACCTGTGTCTCCTTGTTCAATTCCCTGTGCTCGTTTTCTCTTGTCACCAGTCCATTGTGTGTGTGTGTGTGTGTGTGTTCCCCAGTGCTTGTCTTCGTCTTCAGTTCCTGTATTTTACATGCTCGTTTATTAAATTATGTTATTTTTTGCAGAATTGAACAATTGAATATCTAGATTTAAAAAAAACATGGACAGTGAAGAGATCGCTAAACCACTATTTTGAATCCCAAAATGGTTTGACGCAAACGGTTACTGCGCTAAAGGAGTCAACAGGAGCCGGAACAAGTTAGAGCAAAACTTTGTCTATGAGCACTTTTGTTCATAAGTCTATATCTGTGAGCCATGTGCCGTTGCGTGTTTTTTGTGTTGAACATTCTGAAGTCTGTGATTCCAGCTCATCAAGTCCTGGAGCTTTAACGAGCGCACCTCTTCGTCTCTTTAAAACTCTGATTTTACGCTTTTCTTCTCTGCAGCTGCGGTCGCACGCAGCTCTCCTTTAATGTGACAATAAAACATCTTCACATCAGGGGGGTCAGCCGTGGAATAATTACAGAGAAAATGCGTATTTTCCCATGAGTAGTATTGGCTTGATGGTGTTTAGATTAAAAGGGATGTATATGATTTAATCAGTGAAGGGTTAAGTGTAATTTATGAATAAATAATGTTCAAATGAAAGGTAAGGATGTGTTTAAGGCGGTATTGTACAGTCCCTGCAGTGTGTGTGTGTGTGTATTTGTGCATGTGTGTGTATACGTGTATGTGCGTGTATTTGTGCATGTGTGCGCGTTTGTGTATGTATGTTTGTGTCTGTCTGTGTGCATGCATGTGTTTGTGTGTCTGCATCTGTGTGGATTTACTGTATGTGTTTGTGTGTACATGTGTGTGCATGCGTGTTCCAGAACTCAGAACACACAATAGATTCTGTACAGTCCCTCTGCGTGTGTAAGCATATGCATGTGTGTGTGTATTCACAAGTGTGTGTGTGTGTACGTATGATTGTGTGTGCATATCCGTGTGAATGTGTGTTTGTGTGTGTGCATTTGTGTGCGTGTATTGATGTGTGTGTGTCTCTATGCACACAGAGTCAGCTCCACACGGTAGAGAGTTTCCACATGAGGAGAGTGGTTCTTACGTTCGCTGAAGACAAAGTCGCTGCTCAGGTCGAAGGGCTGGATCTGGATGTCGTACATGGACACGGTCACGCCCTTCTGATGGTCGCTGGAGATGAGGGTGAGTGTCTGCTGCGCCGCACACACGAACGACTTCCCAGCGGGAGTCACCAGAGCCGAGAGGCGGTGACTGCTGGCTGTGTGCTTCCCCGCTGAAACATCACACAGAGTCAGGAGGAACTAAGTATGTGACAACACTGCTCTCAGAAGAACAGTTCACTCACATCTAAGGCGCATGGTGCTATTTATTGAACTGGCACATAGACGCTTTCTACTACATGTTACAGTAACGTTGTGCAAAAGAACCTGAAAGTGTTCCAATTATTGATTGGACAATGTAACTGACTAAGTTGTTAGTACAAATGTTCAATAAATGTAATGCCCCAAAAGCAGATTCCATGTTCTAGATTACATCCATCATGTGTCATTTCCGATGGTGGACAATGGAAGATTGATATTTGAACATTAGAAAATTCAGTAGGTTTCTTCATTTCTTCATTTCTTTTTCAGTCTCATTTAAAGTTCATTTTGTTCTGTAGTGTTTTGCCACTGGCTTTACGTTTTGCAACAACTAACATAAGCGTATTCTCCAATGAGAAAGAGTCACTTTACTGAAGATAAGGGCCATGGCACAGGACGCTGAGGACACTGGGGACACGTGACTCACGGTTATAGGCGTTGATGAAGTGCGACGTTTCGGACGTGTCGTACACGAACTGCACTTTGCTGACCTTCCAGATCTCCTGGTCTTTGTCGCGGAGCTCCTGTTCACACACACAGGAAGGTTAAAAACACGGTGGAGCTTATGGCATGTCCAGCACGGGACGCACCTTGGTGAAATAGATGCGCAGGACGTAGGCTTTGCTCTTCCAACTGATGTGGATCTCAGAGTCCGCGCTGCCGCATCTGCCCTCGATCTCCGCGCTGCGCGGGAGCATGAAGGAGGTCTGCTCCGTGATGAGCTGCAGGAGAGCGGCCAGGACAGGCGTGAGGACGGGGCTCAGCACAGCTGCTCATGACTTTACCACTTTAAACAGAGTTGATGAAGTGAAATGTCCTTACGTCTATCCCGTTGAGCGCGAGTACGTCATACGGCACGAGAAACTTGACTGCGAACTCCACCATGAGGCACGTGGTGCTGTTCTCGCGCACGGCGAAGATGGCTTTGTCCGGGTTATTGGACAGACCGGACAGGTTCTCCCCCTCGTGCGCCAGGACCACGGACAGCGGCAGCACACCTGCACATGCACATTGTCAGTGCGCGTGCACATGCACCTTGGCGTGCACGCACCCACGAGTACGCACGCACGCGCACATTTATGTGCATGCACGCGCGCACGCACACACACAGAGAGAAAAACTGCAGAGCTGGCACTAAAGTCACGAGTTAAGTCAGAAGACAGAGACATGCGCGGACACCGCCCTGCGCGCGTCCTGGAGACTCACTGAGCATCATTACCTTTGCACAGACACTATAACTACAGACACAGACTGTTCAACACGGACCATCAAAGTGACGTGAACACATCAAAGACAGCCACACACGCCTAAAGTAAGATCACTAAAGCAGACTTTACCGAAGAGCAGGCGCAGCAGGATCCGGGCGCTGTCCGCGGTGCTGAAGCCCGCTGCTCCCATGTCTGTTCGCTCGTGGCTCCGCTCACACTGGACTGAAGCAGAAGCAGCGAGAGGAGAGCGGGGGGAGGAGAGAGGGAGAGAGGGGGAGAGGGAGAGGCTCTACTCACCTCAGAGGCACGCGCACGCCCGGACTGCGCCAAAACCGCTCCAGACCGGAGCCTCAGTTCAGACAAAGCCGAGTCCAAAAGTCCAGCAGTACACCCTGAGCTGACCCCCGCCCCCCTTGTGCTCCCTCCCCCTCTGAGGTACCCCGCACCAAAACACCGCATCAGCAACAAAACTTTCAGGCCAGTGCGCTTCTTTCTCAGACCGGGTTCGACTCGGGAGTTGAAAAGAGCAGCGCTGCTTTCTTAACACGAGGTTGAGTTTGGGACAGGGACCGAACCAAACCAGACCAGACCGGGGTTGACCTGTGCGCGCGGACAAACTGGAGACACGCGGATGTGGATGTTACAGACGGGCACGGGACCACCGTTCTGGAGCAGGACGCACGGACGCAGAAGGATGGACGCCGCAGCCCTTCCCTCTCTGCAGTTTTCTTTCTTTGTCTGGACCTGGAGAACCTGAAGCGTGCGCGCACTGATGGGGAGACACTTTGGAAATGTTTAGTTTCAGAATACTCACTGCTTAAAAAGTATTTCGTAAAGTATTCTGTTGCATGCTCTTATCAAACTGTATTCTATGTTTACGTTCAGTTTTTGCTGCAATTAAAGGCTGCAACTGACTGAAACCGTCAACTGTCTTGTTGAACCGCTTTGCACCGTGATTACTGGCAAGGAAAGGTGAAAGTATTTATATAGCACCATTCATGCAGAAGCAGGGTGCCCAAAAACCCAGAGAATATCAGGAAACAATAATGCAATAAATATTTTGTGGAAATATCCATGTAGCAAGACCTGCTTTAAACGCATACAGTTGGAATAGTTCACAGAGGAGCAGAAAAATAAAACGCTGCCTCAGTCTTTTTGTCTCTGATCTTTGGGACACAGTCGATCAGTCCCAGATGACCTGAGGACCCTCACATGGAAGAACCATATCTCGAACATATTTTTGGGCAAGCCATTCAGTGCCTTCTTCGCCGAAAGAAATACTTTAAAGTCTGACTGGAAGCCATTTCTGAGATTATAAAATTGCTGTGATATATACATGTTATTCTTTTAATCCATTTTCCATGTTATTGTATTCATGAGGACTTTTGCTGCTAAGTTTTAGATCAGCCTGCAGAGCCTTGTAAAAACACCATTGCAATAATCCTTTTACTCAACAAAAGCATCTACACTTCTCCATGTCATGTTTAGAAAGACAGTCTGTGATAGGTGTAACTTTAGCTATTGTTTATTAGATAAGGAAATCATAATTGCATACATCACTACATGTGATGCCTTAACTTGTTTTTATGTAAAATCCTGTTAAAAATTTAATTCTTTAATAAAAAATCTATCACAAAAAAAAAAGAAAATTCTGAGTTACTCTAAAATAATGTTCTCAATAATAACATATACAGACATCCCATTACTCCCCAACAAGCAATTGTGTTTTGGTTTTTAGTTATTTTTACTTACTTGTACCTTAAATTATTACTTGTACCTTAAATTATTGTACCTTACTGTTACAATATTTTTTATCGATTGAAGTGTGAAACCCAGAGAACTGATCTGTTATAAACTGATTGGCACGTTGCAAAGAAACTGTTTGAAATCAAGATTTTATGGCAGCTCTCGTAATTGATATTTTTTAGCTGAATGGACCACGGCAGGTTTTTTCTTCAAATACGCTGTTTTCTGTGTGTTCTTTCTGGACGCCGGACATGTAGGTTGGATGGAGCACCTGGATGCTTTGTCTTTTGTTTTGTTCTAGAAATGTCGATAATAATGAACTGCCACAGACTCGCCGTGTTTCCTCCCATTTACCTGAATTTATTGAACACATACTATAAAACAGTAGTAAAGGAGCCAATTAACAACAGTATTCATCATTTAAGTCGAACAGTACAATATAAATACAAAAACACACACAGAATATAGACAAGCTACCGTTAAATTAGAAAGGAACTCTGTGACAAAGCGCTGCAAAAATAATCTGCTTTTTGACAAACCGGAGTCACACAACAAAACTAGTGCAAAAGCCTCTAAAACAAACCTTTAACTACACATATCTAATATATACTGTATATTTATATATCTTCATATAAATAACCCATAATTTGGCATTTATCGTTGGTAAAATAATTTAAACGTCCTAACAGAGACAGTGGCACATTGTAAAGCGATGGGAGAATAAAAGCACTTTGGCCTCTGCACTGGATATGTGAGAGCCCACGGAGGCTATGGACCACATTCTAGTATTTACACACCGTTATCATATCATTATCCACAGAAAACTACAAAAAAGAAAACCCGCAGAGACAGAAAATGACCCGGTAATATATCTAAGGAGATTTGAACCCTAACCTTGCACCGAAAATAAAAAGTGAGCAGTAGCTGAATGAAACAGCTTTTCGACGTTGATTTGAGTTCATTTCTACTGTCTGTAAACGATGGAACAATCATAAAGTCTCTGGTTTTATGCAAAAATAGTTCACGGGAAGTCATTTCTTCAATTTAAAATGCTACTTGTCTCGCAGTGTGTTTGTTCCATTTATAAAACTGTTCCAAATGTTTCCAAATGTTGTCGTTTTGTGAAGTGCACCAGGGAACGGTGGTGTGTGCTGCTAAAACGTATGAAAATAAGTGACTATAGTTCTTGAATGAAAAGGCGTTTTGATTTGAGTTAATGTCTATCGTCTGAAAACAATGGAACCAGTAAATATTCTGTTTTTTTAATGTAAAGTTTGAAAGGGGAAGTGATTTCTCAAACAAAAATGATGCTACTGCTCTCGCTATCAGATAAAGCAGTCGGTTCTATTCGTAAAACTTCCAAACGTGAGATGTAAACCGCAAAAATACATGAAAATAAGTTAATAGTTCTCAAATGTGCGCTTTTGGATTAGATTTTTTTTAGAGCGCTCTTTAAATAAGTCAAAAAAACGTTTTCGCAACATGAGTTAAAAATAAAAAACCAATAGAACAAAGGAATGATTTGGTTTCACATCCATAAAATATAGATTATATATATTTGGCCCTTTCTCTATGAGCCAACATTGTCCATTTTTAAAACTACTTTTGCTTTTCATGTGTCCCCTTTGTAAGACGACCTTGAGCTCCGAGAAAGGCGCCATATAAATAAAATGTATTATTAAAATATAGAAAAGGTAAGTCATTTGTCAAAAACAACACTTCTGCCCTTTGAACAAAAGAAAAAAAGGGTCAAATAGTGACTCACAGGGCTCTTTCTGCATGAACTGCTCTGATTTGTTCAACATTTTACTTTTACAAGACTCTTTATGCCAAACAACACTATAATTAATATTATTATTCATCATAATTGTTACGTAAACCAAGAAATGTTTGCTTGTTCCATTGGCAAACCAGTATTTAAGAAAAATAAATAAATCAATTTTCAAATCAAGAACCTTTTCACTTATTTTGAAATAATTTTTTGCAGTGCACATAATTTAAAGCGTCTAAACATATTCCAGTAATCGTGTTCTTGCCAAAAGTGGAACATGTGTGACTGGACTCAAAAACATGACGTGTACTAAAATACCAAACTTAGTCCCAAACGCTTAAAACCGACATCCAGATCCATTTCTTTTTTTACAGTGCATGAGCTGAACTGGGTTTGAGGAACTTGCTTCAACTTATTTAATACGCAGAGCTACATCATTTACCTCCCGAGAAGTTCCTTTGAAAGTTTCTAAAAGGATACAGAACATATTGATCTACAGTCGTTGCATAGAGTGGATTCAGGGACAGACACACCACAAAAATACACGATTTAAAATGACTTCAATTCAGGATTTCTCTCAATTCTCAAGTACTTATTGGTGCTAGCTTATTTATTGTATGTTAAATTCTGGTATTGACCACAAAACTCATTGTTAGGTAAATGTATTGTCTTAAAGATGAGCTAAAGTTTCATGTAACTCGTCAGAAATGTGTTCTTGGTTATTCAAAATTAATCAAATATTTAGAATCGCTTGAAGAACATTAAAAAGTCAAAAAATCTTTTTGACTAAATTCTGCCAGATTTAAGGACATTAAAAAGTCTCACTTAATACTTCTGTTCTTGAAATCTAATTAAACATATTCAAAAATGTAGATATTGAACTTTGTGTTTTTTTTGTTTGTTTTGTTTTTAAAGAAAAATAATAAAACATTGATTAAAAAAAAAAAAAAAAAAAAAAAGATAGGAAGATAAATATTCTATTCAGGCAGTTATGGACATACAGTATATCTCAAACATAACATAAATAAAAAATAAATCTACAATATTAACCTGAATTCAAGTCATTCGATCATTTTTTGCAGTGCACATGTATTATTTAACCATAGAATTGGACAGAACCGCTGCTTGGTAACTTCACCGTGATACCGAGACTTTCGTACCTCCCTTTAATCCTTTTTATAACGAAGACAGAAACAGGACAATAACTGCTACTGGGCTTCAGCAGCGCAGGGTTCTACATTCCAACAGTTTTTACAGTGCGCTGACTCAGTCCTAAACCAAGTGTACAGTGTTTTAACTTCACACATTTACCGTCTCCTCTGTCCACATCCTGCACTTGTTCACAACCAAGGACTTATTCACTACGGTGCAAACGTGACGTCATGTTACACTGGTAAAAGAAAAAAAAGAAAGAAAAAAGGAATATCTTTAGAGTTGCTTCAAAGCAGATTGTTATAGAATGTAAATTGAACTAAAATGGTTTGATTTGATTGGACCGGGTCAGGTCTGGGTATTTTCTGATATGATTTGCGTCAAGTTCAATATAGAGAAAAAAGCAATGAATTTTATATTGGAAATGTTAGATTTTTTTCTAGTGACATAAACCACCAGCGCATGGAATCATCATTAAATAGCAACCATTTAAAAAGTATAAAAATAAAATATTTTTTCTATTTGACTTGACCTTGTTTCTTTGAACCACCTGGAAAATGTAATCTCCGAAGTCAGAAATGTGTTCTTGGGTTTGAGCGATGTCAGCTCGGGTGATGATTGGCGGCAATGTTGGTCAATATCAATATCTTAATATCGCACTTAAACACACACATTTATTAACAACTGTCTTTTTTTAACTTTTCTGTGTCTGATTTGTTTTGCTAAATAAATATATTCTTCACGCCTTAAAATAAAGTTAAGTGCAGGAGTTTGTATTATCGTGTATAAATATATAAATATATTAGAGCTGTCAAACGATTATAATACAATTGTCATTAATCACATTAGCTAAAGGCCTATTGGAGGATTTTCCCGAATGTTAGGAAAGAACTGCCCTCTCCACTTTTTGAACAAAACTCTTTAGTCTTTATTTGATGAGCACGTATCACCCATAGACTGTAAACATTAACCTACTGTTCCCTACTGTTCTAACTAATGTGCCACTACTTCCGCAGTCTATGGGCAGTTTCAAAATGGCCACGGGGGCTGGAAAATGTGAAAAAACGCCTCTGCGCATGCGTCAGCCGGCACGAACCCTATTCTTTTGAATGAGTGACTTCGACATTTCACAGCAACTAAACTAGACTGGTCCAAAATAATTCCCTCCCCTCAGCATTGACACACATGTGGAACGGAGCTTTGGGCCAAGAGCCAACTTTTGGTCCATCCTGTAAAGACGTTTTCGAGAGATCTGCCAATGCTATATGTTAGCATTGGCTAATTCTTATTCCGGGTCCACCCCCATCGGCCCCGGGTGGTATTGCAGCATGTCAGCGCACATCATTTTGGCTACTTTTGAGCCGGGACCCGCTCCCACTGGTATCACCAGAATAATTAACAATTGAGAGGACCAATAGTCTTGATGATCCACCAGGAAGTAGAAAATCCTCCAATATACCTTTAACTCGTGATTAATCGCAATTAATCACACATATTTCTCCCTAGTTTAAATGTCCCTTGATTTTGTTTGTGAAGAGATAGGACAAGGCAAAACGCTGATAATAAGCGTTTTGCCTTATTATAAGCCAAAAAGAAAGTATTTAGAATGTCTAAAACAGGACACTCAATCCCTGCTTCCGTTCTGTTTTTTTTTTTTTTTTTTACAGTGTATAGAACTATTTACCAAAGTAGAAATGACTTGAATTGTGTAATAAATTCATATACTCTTTTGTCTATTTTTTTCATTCAAGTCAGTTGGATGGTTTTTTACAGTGTATATGACAATCACGTGCAGAGGATAAAACTAAAGCTTCCACGTTTGGGCGGTGACCTGGACATAGCAGTGAGCGCCCCTACTTTTGTTTTAATTTTGTGACTGGGCTGATGAAAACACCGAGGTCCCAGATCTGGATCCATGGCGGGGGGTGGAGGACCTGGCTTCATAACCCAAAACTTTAACAAAAATCTAAAATGAATATTATGAAATGGAACAATATGATGCCATGAGGTTTTCAATTGTGGCAGATATTCCTTTTTCCTCTGTCCAGTGTAAACGTCTTGTCAAAGGGCAGTTTCTTTAGTTTTGAGTTGGATCAGAACCAGTGATGGAGGAAGCACACATCAGAGGAGGTGGTGGCACATTCAGAACCAGAACCGAAGAACCACAAAGAAACCATAGCTACACAAGTTAAAATGACTTCAAATCAAGACGAATGTTGATTTGTGTAGTTTGGACAAGTCTCAGAGAATGTACTTTGTTAAAAATGGCACTAATTTATGTCATTTTGTCATATAATAAAATCCATCTAAAATCCATATATAAACAAAATAAAAGTTTATCGATGGATTCAAACTTGTCTTTTTCCATAATTTGTTTTTCCTTTTTCTTGTTTCTTAAATACTATTCAACAAGAGGCAGAAACCTTTGAATACTCACAAAGCTACATTATCTAAACTCGTTCAAACTACCCAGAAGTCAAGTCGTGCAGATATCAACACTGCAAAAAGTGTAAGTGTGGAGCCTTCTTGTTTTTGAGTGCGCCGTCATGGTTGCCGCGGTGATTGTTGTTTGTTTATTTGATGTGTTTGTTGTGGTCAGACGTTCACACCACTGTGGCTGGTCTGCGCTCCATCTCCTCCTCCAGTTTCACCATCTGCTGCATGTCCCGAGCCTGCGCAAACCAGCAGAGAAACAAACACTAACTGGGACGGATATATTGACTTTTCTGCTGTTTTCTTTGTACTAGGTTGTGTTCAAGAATTGTATTTCAGTGGCAGGGCAGGTGCCAATGCCACTCTATGGGGAAGAGGCAATTTATGAAAAAGATTAAATACAGAAAATGTCCAAAAGTTACTCTTGATCATTATTTGATAGTGTTTAGATTCACAAATTGGAACACAATCGTTTTGTCTGTTTGGGGGATTTGTATTGTGCACGTTCTGAAATAAAGATCAGGATTTACAGGATGTAAATCTGACAATCATCAGCATGAAAATGAAAAGACATGCCAGATTAAAATGTCACTTAGCGGGAGGAGGTACAGGGCAAAAAGCAAAGGGCCAAGAATTGAGCCCTGAGGAACCCCACAGTGCAAAGGGGCAGAGGTGGAGGTGGAGGCCTGACAGTGAAGGACCGCCCCGGCAGGTAAGACCAAAACCAGATCAGGGCGGTCCCCCTGACAGCCACACAGTGTTCAAGATGATTTAAATGAGTTGCTTGGTCCACAGTGTCAAACGCAGCAGGCAAGTCAAAGCACTAAAACAGCAGTATTTCCAGAATCTGCACTTTTAACAGTTTTTAATTAACTTTCTTTTATCGGCCGACTCAGTGCTATGCATGGCTTTATAACCTGAATGGAAAGGGTCTAAAGTGCCAATTTCATTTAAAAAAGGTTGCAACTGAAAAATTACGCTTTTTTCCATCGTCTTTGAAACAAAAGGGAGTTTTGAAATAGGACGATAATTTGATAATATAGAAGGCTCAAGTCCAGATTTCTTAACTAATGGCTCCACTACAGCTGCTTTACAAAAAGAAGGGACAACCCCAGAACAGACTTCTATTAATTAACTCCTGGACAAAAGGTCCAATAGTGGCTTGTTAAAAAAAGCGAGATGGAACTGTGTCTGTAGGACTGGACGATGGGTTTAGTTTGTCAACTATCCCTGTGAAGGCAGAGACTTATACAAGGCCAGGCCAGCTCTAGAGGGTTAAATACTCTCATTCAAAAGCCCGTTTGAGCTGCTCTCACGAGATACATGTGGAAATTAGTCTCAAATAAACCAAACTCATAATGATTAGAAATGTGAGGATAGGTGCACGGAGGGACTGGAGGACATCCTACAGCGAGGACACGTCGCTGGCAGTGGGAGGTTGTGCTGTAGCGTAGTAAGTCTTTGAAACACTGTGATTTATGAGTCAGGCTGCTGCCGTCACGCACACGCTCCCCTCTCCCCCTCCCCCCTCTCCCCCTCTCCCCCCTCCTGTGTGTTTAAACAGGGGATTTCACCAGCGCAGGACAGTGTGTCACAGCCAGTGTAGCACGTCACTGCTGCTGCTGACGACGAGAGGCCAGATCACAGTTTGGAAATAGATTCAATCATGCACTGCAAAAACAAAATACAGTGACAAATGTGGCTAATAGACTTGAATTTAGAAAGAATGGGAGATCATTTAAATCTGTTATTTAACTCATATGCCAGTTATTTTAGATAAAATTTTGATGAAAAGGCATTCAGCCACTATTTTACTCTATAAAAAATGTTTTGTGCTGGATGTTCCTGACATTATACTTACCGGCCTGATAGATATTTGTACACAGCTAAAACTCTCCCAATATCAAAGCAAAGGAAGGTTTCTCACCCATCATCTGTACTTCTTAGCAAGTTTTCCCGACGTTTCGTCCTCAACCTAGCGGACTTCTTCAGGGAATGAATTCTCGGACCGCGCGTTGGAGATTTATACCCTATGGGTGTGGTTAGCCACACCCTAATCCTGATACTAACTCATAAACAATCTACGGTCTGCTTGATGTAGAAGGGAGCAGGTCTAACGACCCTGCTGAGGCTAACGACCCTAACTCCTTAGCATGTCACAGACCTATTGTCTGCTGGGATGCTCAAGTGGAGTGCAGGTCTCACCCCTCCTAACTCATTAGCATGTCACTGACCTTGTCCCAAGTTAGGGCGTTGTTTTTAGGATGTCGTCATAGATGCGAGGCAAAACAAATCTTAACCCTCCTCCTCTGTTAAGAGAAGGTTTTTGTTTCCTCACAAAAATGGCTTCTTTCACTCCTCTCTCAAACCAATTCTTCTCCCGAGCCAGAATTTTAACCTCTGTGTCATCCACCGTGTGGTTGGAGGCCTTGAGGTGGAGATGAACAGCCGACTGTGGCCCACTAGAGTTTTCTCTACGATGTTGGTAAAGTCGTTTCTGTAGAGTTTGTTTGGTTTCTCCAATATAGTGGTCAGTGCACTCCTCTTCACTACATTTAATTGAATACACCACATTGCTCTGTTTGTGTCTGGGTGTTTTGTCTTTGGGATGCACTAATTTCTGTCTTAACGTGTTGAAAGGTTTGAAATACACAGGGATTTTGTGTTGCCTAAAGATTCTTTGTAGTTTCTCTGAAACTCCCGCCACATACGGTAAGGACACGCCTCTCCTCCTACTTTCTTCTGTCTGTTGGACTGTGTCTCTGGCCTTTCTCGTCCTTTGGGCTTTAGTAAAAGACCACTTGGGGTAGCCACATCTGGAAAGTGCTCTCAGATAATGGGTGAGAAACCTTCCTTTGCTTTGACTAATCCCTGTACGACTGAGAGCTTACACAAACTTATCTCCCAATATCATAAATTCAAGCCTTTTTTGCCCCATTTCCTTTTGCAACATGAGTGAGATGCAATGCCTACCTTGAACCTGTTTGTTTGCATGGTGTGATTTCAAAAGCTGGAAAAAGCAAATGAAAATGAAAATAAATTAGGCACAAACATGACAGATGGAAAAACAAAAGACACAATGAGTTCACTGAAGTTAATAGCGAGAAAGTAGCAGTGTGTTGTGTTTGCATGAACGTGACCAGAATTACACTTATATTTGAACCACCTGGGAACTAAACGTGGGAATCTAAACCCATTTGCCATTGATCCAGCCTAAACCAAGAGCAGATCAGTGGTTTGGTGGAAAAAGACATTGGTCGCCCTTCAGCCGAAAATGGTCAAATTTAAAATGTAGATTGAAATAAATGAGTTCAAGGTAAAATTCCTCATATTTCACAATAAAGAAAAAGTGAATGAACATAATAACATGGAAAAAATGTCCATACAAACAAGCCCAAAAGTTCAACATTGAACATAAACAGCCAATATGACTGCTCTGGGAATTCTAGTGTATAGTACATTTCGTATATTAGCTGCAGCTCAATGTGAATCATAAATATCATATGTCCTTCCTTTTATCATGCTATATCTTATATTCGACGTTCAGCTTGTTTTCTTAGAGTGAGACTGAGGCGAGTTGAAACCATGTGCTATGTACCTGCTCATTAAACTTCTCCAGTTTGTCCACCTGCTCGCGCTGGTTCTTCTCCAGTTGTTCCATCTCCTTCTGGTGCTTCATCGCCAGCTGTAGCCACAAAACCAAAACACATTAAACCACTAAATAGAACGATATAACAAATAAACAGCTCATGTGAGCCGCTGTGGAAGTCATACCCGCTTTCGCTCATCCAGAAACTTCTTTGTGTTGCTGCTGTTGAGTTCTCGGACTCGCCTGAACACAAATGTTATTATCGTTATCTACTATGATCTTCTTTATGATTTATGATCACAGTGAGTCCAGTGATCACAGTGAGTCCAGTGAGTCCAGTGAGTCCAGTGATCACAGTGAGTCCAGTGAGTCCAGTGAGTCCAGTGAGTCCAGTGAGTCCAGTGATCACAGTGAGTCCAGTGAGTCCAGTGATCACAGTGAGTCCAGTGATCACAGTGAGTCCAGTGAGTCCAGTGAGTCCAGTGATCACAGTGAGTCCAGTGAGTCCAGTGTTCACCTCTCTCTCTCTGCTTTGTTTTTGATGGTCTTGTCTTGACTGATGGCTTTGCTGTTCTCCATGGACATCTTAGCCTGGTTCGCACGCATCTCTTTACTTTGCCTGAAACGCACAAGCCTTTTATAGACAAGTCCGACATCCATGTGAGTGTTGGGACAGCGGTGACCGGATTGATTTGTAAATAACTGCTATTGCCACTCTTTCAGACTATATTTCCTTTAACATCTGTGCCAAATGTCCATTTCTCCAGAGTGAAATCAAAAAAGTCTATTTTATGTTATCTAATTCATGATGAGTTGTTTATTTTGATCTTATTGACATTTATTCATCCAGGACAGTCCCGCTGACATTGACAATCTCTTTTTCATAGGCCCTTGGTAGTCTTGGTAGCCTACAGGAGCACCCGGAGGAAACCTACGCAGGTACAGGACATACAAACTTCACAAGAGTAGAGCCCAGGACCCCAGCGCTGTGAGGTGGGAGTGCATGTATGACCACCTACCGCTCGTGGATGAGTCTGAGCTGCACGGTCTGCTGCTCCTGCACTGAGCCCAACAGTTTCTTGAGGTGGTCACACTGCTGCGTGACGTGGTTGTCCTTCACCTCCTGCTCCTCGCTGCTGTGGCTGCTGATGAGCTCGGACCACTCTTTAGTGTGCTGCGCCGTCAGCTCCTTCACCTGCGAGGGAACAACAAGGTCCATACTTTAAACTTTTTAGGTATCTAATAATCGTTAAGTAGAACATATAGGCCTAAACATACAAGACACTCCCTTTCATTGTAGAAGTGGGAAATGACATGATGCAAGAAATTGATTTAAATATGACATAGTGTGGTCTAATGATGGGGCACGTCTGTAAAGTGACTCTAAACTACCATCGAGAAAATACTTTTATTTGAAAACAGCTGTGCGTCCCTCACAGCATAACACGGTTGAAACAGGAGTATTTTAACTCATTGACTGCCCTTGACGTATTTGTCTGAGACTGGTGGTTTTTGTCAAACCTCCTTCTATTCGATGAGAGACTATTATATTATTAACTAAACTAGCTAGAAACAAAGTTATTTTTGCAGAAGAAAGTAGATAGTCCAGTCTTTCAGAATCTGCATTTCACATAATAAGTCATAGCACACAATTTTCTGTGGGTCTTGAAAATCAAGTCAAGGCAGCCAATGAGTTAACAGCAGGGGGGCTGCGTTTGCTAAAAGAGCTAAAAAACAACTCTGGTCTGTTTTTGATGAGGGTATGCTGCTGTCACACTGTTGTAAAAGCTCCAAAAATATATGTAAAATCCTGTCAGGGATGTGTTGGTGTGTGTGCTCTCCCCCCCTCCCCTCTGTGTCCCTGGAGCTGATCATGTACGGAATCGGGAACCAACAACCTAAACTAATATATCCATTCTAATAGATTACCCCAACCCACCCTTAACCCTAACCTCAACCATCTTACTCAGACACCTAAAACTTAAGGACTTTTTTTGTCTAAACCTAATTTGAAAGAAGAATTGTTACTTCAGCTTCCGTATAAGAGCTAGTGCCGACCCTGGGCGGAGTGACTGCCTTCCTGGTCCTGCCCATGGTTCAGCCTGCATACACCTGCAGCCCGTCATCCTCATCAGCTTCCCTTCTACAGTTTAAAAACCCGATTCACCCTTCAAACTGTGCCAGATTGTCAGTTAAACGTTCACAGTATTACTCCTTGAATATTAGATTTTATCAAATTTGTTTTTTGGTCCGGCCTCTGCCTTCCTCCTGTTTCTGCCTTTGTACAGTTTTTCTAAAAAACCTTGTTAAATTTCTGTCTGCAATTTTGATTCGCCAGTCATTTACAACATATCCATAAACCCTTTAAATCACGTGTCTGAGTGCTTTAGTACACGGGTGGTTACTCGCTTTTCCTTCCAACAATAAAAGTGGATTGTGGAAAGTGGCTCACACTGCACACCGTGGCTTTGTTCTGATCTGGGGCTTGACCCTAACCCTCACCCACGAGACCACGTGTCACAGTCGTAATCAAGCACTTAAACAGAGAGAGGCGGGCGGAGGGCTTTAATACGGAAAGGATCCTGAGCTCTGTGGCCCCTCCATGGTTCTGTATGGTATGGTTTTTATTTTTACAGCGACATTGTAATTAGCCATTGTAGCAGGTTGTAGCAGCAGTGCTAATTTACACCTGTTGACCCTGAGCAGCAGGTTGTTGTAAAACAGTAAAATATCAGTAGATGGATACATGACCACACATTATCAGACAGAAATGACAAGTACAGACTGTGTGAAGTGCAGTATGAGACTCTCATGACTACATCAGGCAGAGGTACCTTGGCTTTGTGTTGAGTGGCGAGAGTCTGGATCTTGTCCTCGGTTTCCTTCTTCAGATCTTGACAGTTGTTTTCTCTGAAACGTAGACAGAAACACACTAAATGAATGAAACCGTTTATAGTTATTGTAAATCATAAACATATAACATAAATGCATTACTGACCATACAACCAGTTCAAGTATAATTTGTACACTCAAAAATACTATTGAATACATTTTGAATAAACTCAAAGCACAATGTTCCATACACCATTATACAAAATAGAGTTTTCAGTGCATTTGGAGAAAAGTAAAGTAAGTACATTTTGAGATCTATGAACACTGGTAATATATATAAGTTAGGCATTTTGCTAAAGTAGACATAAAATGTATCATCTATGACAACTGAAGCTAAGTTTTATATATTTAGTACATTCAAAATTCCAAGCACTTGCTGATTTCAGGCCTGCCATATTGCTCTGCACTCTGCCCCTGGTCAAAGGAGGTCATATGAAAGGCTTCGCTCAGTGGAATTAAGTGATGCATGGAACAAAGTGGCTATTTTGACCAAATGAACAACAAAACAGTGGTTACCCTCGTTTTTTAATGGCTTTCTCCAGTAGTTTTTCCAGCGTGACTTTCTCTTTGTCGTGAAAAGACACCATCTTATCGGCCTGAGAGCAGTGGGCCTTCTGCATGCTGTTCTGATCCTATTGCAAGAATACAATTAACTCCAACAACACCTTTTCTTTGTAGAGAACCAGACATGTCGATGCATTCACTTACCTTTAAATGTTTCTTCTTCAAAGTATTGAGTTCTTTCTGTTGTTTTTTTAATAACTTGAGGAATGACTACAAAAAAATCATAAAAAGTGAGATTTTGAAGCAGTAGAAATTTTCCACAATGAGTATGTTTAAAACTTCTAGTCCAGCTCGATTGTGCGAGATGTATGTAAACTTGTGGTAAAATCCAGTTCAGCGCAAATGAATCCAACCATTTCTACTTCGTTATGCTGCATGTAACCACGGAAACTGAATACTACTGAGGCAAGGCCAGCAGACGCATTTAAGAGCACAGGGAAAAGTCATGCTAATATAAGAAATGTACAGTATGAATTTGGATATATGTATCTATGTCCATTTTGAGATTTCAAAGTACTGTATATGCTGTATATAATGTGTACAATAGATTTTTAGATATATATTTTTTTATCTTGAAATTAACATTAAAAATATAAATAATAAATTGGACGGTTAATCAGTCTATGGTGTCCATGTTGGCCAAAACCACCCTTGGCCAACTCACTCATTACAAAGTAAAAAGCCAAAGTTATGGGACTCCTCTGAAAGCCCCCGCTGCTCAATGAGATGAAGCATGTACAGAGTGGTCAGTCCAGTTTGGGAGCAATGCTGAAAATATTTTTTGTGCGCACTCTTTTGCTTCGAGTAGAGCAAACACTCACCTTCATCTGTCTTAAGTCATCGATACTGACATGAGGCACAAGTCCAGAATCTGGAACAGTCAAAGAGAGCACGGTAAAACATCTCATGTCGGGGTAGCCTTTTAACCTTCTGTGTCTCAAGTTGTGAAGATTGTCACTCCTCTCCTTTATCCCATCGTTGCAGCTAATCATTATCTTAAAAGCCTTGTAAAGCCTTTTATATATCTATTTGATTTGTTAATTGGTTTGTGTGGAGCCCTTTGGAAAATAGTTGCTTGTAAAATATGCTATACAAAAAAGTGGATTGGACTGAACGTTCCACATATTGATAATAACTATTGGAAATGCATTGTATTTAGACATTTTACAGTCATTAAAGTCTTTGCGCCCACTTGTGCTATCAGTATTCTAATAGCCTGGGATGAGAGTAGTTGATTGCGTACCCTTCTTGGCCTCTGCATTGTTGTTCTGTGCGGAGTTGGAGGTTTGGCCCATGTCTGAACTGGCCTGAGGCGTCACGTTGGCTTTAACTGTGTCTCTTCCTTTTCCCTTCTTGTCAATCTTTGAGCTGCCACTAGGGACATCTGCGATATCATTCTGCAAAGACAGATTATACATTATGCATGTTACAAAAATACTTTATTTGGGCTATGTAATCCACTGTTCATGGTGTGTGTGTGTGGGTGAGTGTGTGTGTGTGTGGGTGAGGGTTTATTGTCTTGTCTTCCACCATATATTATTGTATTGTGTTACGTTATTGTTGGTAATTATGGCGTTAGAGCATAATGGAATCTCTAGCAGTAATCTAATTAGTTACTTTGGCCTCCGCTGTCATTGTTATTTTCAGTGCAATACTTTTCAGTTTGGTTCCATTAAACGCAGCAGTCATAGACAAGTGTTGGTTACCGTGTCGATGCCCAGCGCCTTCATCTGGTCGGCTCTCTTCTCAGCAATGGTCAAGAACTTCTTTGGGTCTGAAAGAGCATCTACAATTGCTGTATAAAAAGAAAAAAATATATATGTTATTGATCTGTGTAGAGAGATGGGCTAATGTGTTTCTTCAGAGTCCTAACAAATACAATAATTAGTAGTTCCGATATATTGAGAAAATATTGATTTGCAGTAACTAAGGTGAATACAATCAGGAAAGACTCGAGACAAAGATGGCATTAGAATATATTGATTGTTAAGATTGAATGAACAGACAATTAAAGCCAGCAGACGCATTGATTGGGTACCAATATACTATATATATATATATATATTATTATTATTTTTTTTTTTCATTTTACAGTAACATAAAATGTTCAATAAGCTTGGCGATTAGACCTCGGCAGGAAGTATGCAGGGGGAGTTTAATAGAAATTATGAGCAAAAAAAACCCTGAACAAATATATAAAAGGTTTTATACAAAGACAAATACAGTTCACAAAATATTATTATTACAAGACTCTTTCTAATGAGACAAACAAACGTGGCATTAATCTGTATTATATATTTTAAAAGTTTGAAAAAATTGAAGTTACAACGAAGACAGCACATCGCTAGATTGTAAAACTATGCATTTTCAAATAAAAAAGCAGAAACCCCATCTATGCAAATGTAGTTCTCCACTATACTGCTAATAGATACAGTAAGCGTGGTTTAATGTGGCCCTTCGGCTCAGTTTAATGACAGGAAGCATGGTGGTGTGCATTTGTATGGCCTCTGCCCACGGCTCTCGGCGCTCTTAAACAGAACAGCATGAGACGAGCTTTGTGCTCTGAGACCACTGCAGGACCCTGTGCAGCTCCTTCTATCTATACTGAGGAAATCAAACAAATGTAAGTCCTCTGCCAGGCTTTCATATTGTGATCTTTTTAAGTGATGCCTTATTGGTCTGAAAAAGCTATATACAAAAGTGTACACTAGGAATGGACAGAGCTAACTCGCTACCTTGCTAAAACCTAGTGGTGTTTTCTGTCATTGTTGAGTTAAGATAGTTGTTGTGTTTTCTTGTCTATGCACATTGGGTATTTTTTATTGCATATATTCCAAAGTGTTAGTTAAATGCAAATGGTGAATAAACTGAAAAAGCTGACCAACAATACATGCATGTGAAAACTTGTGATACAACTAGTAGCTTTTGTTCTAACTACAATGTTCAAAATGTCAGTACCCCAGCTTTAACAGTCCTATACAGTATGTCGCATGAAACAGGAAGTTGCTATCCTAGTATTCACTGCAAATGCACAGGACAGGAATAGCTCTGACCTCCAAAGCCGTCGGGCACGTATGTCTTGAGGATGATTTGACAGAAGACAGTGGGCAGTGACAGAGGCTTGTTCCCCTCGTTCCTCAGGGAGATGTGCCGGTACCCCGCCTGCAGCCCGTCCAGCGGCAGGATCCTCTGACCGATCAGCTTGTTGTTGTCGTCATACACGGCAATACGCAGCACGGCCAAATCCGGCAAGATCACCTGCACCACACCGAGGACATCTTTCACACACTTTCCATGGACATGTTCATTGTGGGAAGTGACATTGTGGTTAGAATTACAAAATTGGAAACAGGGAGGAGGAAAATCATAATTGTATGTTGAATGTGTAAAGGTATTTAGGGAGATGTTTGTGCAGAAAAACGTCTGACTGAGAAGATGTGAAGTACAATAGAGGAACGAAATAACACGAAAGAAAAGAGAGGAGAGGAACAAAAGAAAACAGTGGCCTTTTTTTCCCGGAGAGGTGGCACTTCCGGAAAAATCTCCCTAAATTCCTTTTTATATAACACATATTTTATCCTGATCTCTTTTAAATGTTGTGTGATTATTAGTTAAGATAATACATATAAATACATAATATATTACAATAAAAATAAACCCTTTTAATGGTTTAATTCTTGTTTTTAGGAAGACCTTTGAGTTGCCTTGGGTATGAATTGAGCTCAACAAATGGCAAAACAAGGCAAGACAAGTGTATATGTATAGCACAATTCATACACAAGGCAACTCAGAGTGCTGAACAAATCAAGAAAGCATTAAAATCGTAAATAATCACGGTACATTAAAAAGAAAGATAAAAATATAAAATCCCTCAGTTGTATGCACAGCTAAACAGAACTCACAAACTTGCCTTGGCTAAACCTCAAAATTAGTTAAAGTAGTGCCGGAGTAAAAAGACACAAAGAGAAACGTTCTGGATCGATGAACTTAAAGCTGCTGTTTTTCCGGGGTTAAATGACGTTGATTTTTCAGTGTTTTTATAATGTTTGTATCTTTAAAAAAGTGGTATCTATGTCTTGATAACATTCACTGTGGTGTTTAGACATGTTTACATCATATCCTCTCTCCATTCAAATAGTTGTTGTCCAATGGATGTCGTTCTGTCATTTTTTAACACTGCCCTTGAAGAAGACCCCGTGTGGCCGAAACGCGTTGGTCCCTTTCCCTCATTAAAGGACTTTTTATCAGAGTGCCTCGGATTTTACCCTGGTATCTTTGTTTGCTAGTGCCTGTACGTTATTCTAAACACCTTAATAAATGTGAAAAAATGCAATTTGTTCATTTCAAACCGCAATATTGCCTGGGACTAGTATAATCACCTGGGCGCAGCTCAACACACCTCCAAGTCTTATTCTGCGTTATGTGTAGGATGTTTCTTTATTTTATTATCTCTGAGTAAACCTATAGAAATACAGTAGCAGACATTTGAGTAATCTAGAATAGCAGCCTGGCCCTGGTCCTGGTCCTGGTCCTGGTCCTGGTCCTGGCTGCATCATGCTTCCCCTCCTTGTATAGAGCTCTGTCTGATGTTATTGAAGGATTTGCGATTCTGTCAACAAGCCGGGCGTATTCATATCTGGTGAGCGGCCGTGGTGTCCTCGTGCGGCCGGGCTCACCCTTTGGGAGATTCGCAAGGTGCAGACGGGGGCAGATAAAGGAGCAGCAGAGATGATAAGCACTTTGAGGAGAGAGTGTGAGATTACGGTTCTCACGGGAGATGAATGGAGGGAAGCCTGTTTGTGAGGGCGTGTATGCAAATGTGACAGACAGGGTTTCTACTGTACTCTGCAAAACGGCATAAACAGGACTTTTTGATCAGTTAAGATTTACTAAAATGGGACTTAAAAGGTATCAAGGAGGATTTTTCCACATTTTAGGAAAAACCGCCCTCTCCACTTTCTGAACAAAACTTTCTGGTCTTGTTTGACGAGCCCGTATCACCAGAATGATTGACAACTGGGAGGACGAATAGTCTTGATCCACCCGGAAGTAGAAAATCCTCCTACTGTATATACCTTTAAAATGCAAATATCAACTTTTCACAGCCTTTGAGCATATCATAGATTGTTATTATTAGATACATTTTTACTTGTCAATTATACACTCAATGCTGTTTGAGAGCAGTGGTATCTATAACCTGTGGCTCAGTATCTCGCCCTGTCCAGGTAGCACCTCAAAAAGATTAAGAAATGACATTAATCTGTTTATTTCAAAAACTATGCATGCTAACTTTGTAATAAATGACACATAATGACTGGACACTGGAAACATCACCCCGTCTAAGGCTCTTGCTATTAAACTTGATAATTATTCAGTGAAAGGTTGTGGTTTTTTAATACATTTGGATTGATTGATTGATATTTCCCCCTGGACGCTTAGAAGGAGTAACTCTCTGCCATGTTGGTCCCCAGAAAGTGCTCTATGAGTGAAAAAGGTGCAGACGGTTCTGGAAGGACTTACAAGATACTTCCTGAATCTATTCTGTTCTCTACCTTTTAACACAATGTTAATCTCTTAAAGACTTTGATTAAACAGCCTCCTTTCTTTTCTGAGTAAACCTAATAGAAATACATCCATCCATCCATACATTTTCTTCCCCTTAATCCATTTCTGGGTCGGGGGGGTGACATTCAGAGCTGCACCCACAGCACCACCGCAACAGAAATACAATAGCAAACATTTACGGATTTACATTGAGTAATCCATAAAAGCAGTCGGATATATTATATAGTTATATAATATACTATTTGCTATTTCAACATCTGTGGACTTTTATCAACATTTATGGACATTGGTCTTGGCCCCTTATGGACCAATGGCTCTATGTGTTTTCTTTCATTGCATTTGTGGTGTTTCTGTTTGATTCTCTGATCTGTGTTGGCAAATTCAATGGTTTTGTAAAGTCCTCCGAGATATATTTCTATATATATATATATATAGAAATATAGAGAGTTTATGACTCTAACATGCATGGATCGCTCTATGACAAGGGAAAACAAAGAGAACATGGTGAAAAGCTGTGAAAAAGTCCATGGTGAGGTGATGTCCCTGTTTAATCCCTATTATTAGAACGGCATGGGGTTTGGGAGCTGGAGCCCTGTCCCCTGTAGAGGCTCAGCAGCACTGCGGCAGGGCTGATGGATGAGCACCGAGCCCCAGTCACGGCTCATGGATTTCTGCTGAGAGAACCACTCTTCTCCCCTCTACTGTAAATACTGAGCTGGCTTTATGTTCGCTAAGTCCTGTTATTAGCCACATTCAAAGAGCCAGGCTTTGTGTAGTCTGTTGTACGTATTCAATTAAAGACGCATTAAGCTCAATGGTAGTAAATCCAAATAAGAAACGCTGAGATATGAGTTTACAGTTTTGTTAAATTGTCTTACGGCACAATATTGAAAGACAAAGTGAAGCCTGGTTAAAAGGGAATTGTACATTTTCATATGAAGCTGCAGAACAAATGAATGTACCAAAATACACTTGTCACTATTGACCTAAAATGTATGTATGTCGGGTATGTATTTATTAGCAAACTGTGGCTTGATAATCTGATAATTATGACTTTTATCTGATAAAACTGAAAAATTTAAGTGAGTGGACTTTCTTATCAGGTTTAAATCAGAATATGAAATAATTTAGTATCATTTCAATCTATCATAAATTAACTAATTTATTACCTAAATACTATACTTTATTGTGCAGCACTCAAACTCGTTTATGGAAGTGTACAGAAATTAACTTTTTCCACTTCTGCCTTGAGTTTTTTGACAAGTCTGTGTCGACCACAACAGTGGGAAAGGTTGGCGTGTGGTTTGAACCATGTTGGCTTTTCACCACGCGGAAGATGAGAACGAGTGGAAATACAAAGGTCAAAACAAACTTCCCACTTTCAGAAACAGTCTTCTAAAGTCACAGCACAGTGCACCCAGGACCAGAGAGAAGCACATTATTATGGACTATGGTCACTTTATCATCCACATGGAGCTGTATAAACATTGTCAACACATATTTTACAGAAAACAACTTCATAAATGAAAGAGCAGCTCGTGCAACAACCCAAACTCTCACCCACATGTAAAACAGTTTGCTTGTATTGTATTGTATTGTATTGTATAAATATCCGCTTTATTGGTAACAAAACATTGAGTTTTGACTTTCCACGTAAAAGGGAAATGGTGAAGATCTTAGAAAATCAAAATCTTGTGGTCAATAGTTTAGAAAGTTTAAAAAGCCTTTATTTTCTCATGACTGTAAATTGAAATACGCACCAACGCGATTCAGCCTAGCTTGGCCTTCTTCAGGGTGCAAATGGTGGGTTTTTTTATTTTCTAAGATCTTCACCATTTGCCTTTTACCTGGAAAGTCAAAACTCAATTTTTTGTTACAAAGTGAAACCCCTCTTCCAATTGAGCACCTGGTCTTTTAAATAATTTTACACGCTTGTACCACGCAGCACTCCTTACCCTTTGTTTTTTGAGAAATACTATCCGCTATATTGGTTTACACCGAACATGCCGCAGCAAAAAGACTCGGTCAGAAGGCGGGTTAAATATTGAGTTGTTTTGACACACCAGCCCGTGCCGCTCAGTGCCCTGTTTTTTGAGGACATGCTCTTGTGTTTTTGTGCAGTGGGAATGAGGCTTCAGTCCAGTCTGCGATTCTGATGGGATTCCTGTAACATGTTTTTTTATTATACCCTTACAATAATAATAATGCAGATTCGTCATTCCCAGTGTGACTTCTCTCGGGGTTTCTAGACCCAGTACCTTCCTGAAGACGAACGGCTCCTCGTTGTACGCGGGGTTCAGGCCGTTGTTCATCACCATCCGAGTACGGAACTCTTTACGAATGGTGTCGGTGGGCAGGCCGTACATGTCCACCTCCACGTATGTGCCGATCTTCTTATCCGAGAGGAACTGGCCCGAGAAAACCTGCAGCCGAAACACAGCCATGTCATCTCATGTTAAAACACACAGAACGTACTGTATATAATCTACCCAACAGTTTCAAACGCTGGATGGATAATAATTCTTTAAGTGTAGCCACGTTTTAGAAAGCATATTCAAAAATCATGTTTTAAATAATGTGCATCACTTTTCTACTTTTTTATTGTATTTTCTATTTTATCATTTAATGATAAAGAATTGGGTAAAATTGACTGAGATCTCAGCTGCAAAGATTGTTTTTCAGAGTGAGCACTCCTGTGTTATGTTTTACACAGATTTTTTCCTCTCTGCGTCTGCTTCATGGATCTATAATAATAATGTTCTGCTTCTGTCGTTTCTCCTGAAGCCAAAGTCCCGCATTTCAAAACTGTAGTGTTTTTCATAACTAACACTTTCACCTGGATCTATTGATCAGTGAGTTTGTGCGCTCACTAGTGACAAAGCAGGGGTTAGCGTTTAAGGTCGCCTGTGATTGGACTTGAGTGAAAGACTTTCAAAAATGCACATCTCAAAGTTAAAATTAAAATATTGTTTTTGATATATTGTACATCCCTACTATATTTATTCTTCATCCTACTTATTTTTTGTAATTCAACTAAAAGACTAAATATTGTTTCTGTTTCCGCTTTTAAAACCATATTTTATTTTATGCCAGGGCAAAAATATGTTATTCCATGGTCTTAAAACATGATGGCCAATGACACCATCAAAAATATATTTGTTTTTTAAGAGATAAGCACATTTTAATCTGAAATGAGAAAACAAAAATGCTACTGCAAAAGAAACCAAAGTTGCTTTTTTTCTTTTGGCAACACGTTCAAGACAAAAAAAAAATAAAAATAAAATAAAATTCTTCCCCAGCTCAAGATGCTCTTCTCATTTAAACAACATCGAATGGTTGAAGCTGCTGTTATGAGACATATCACAAACTTTGAAGGTTATGTATTGCATGTATTTGATCCTTCTCCTTTACACACAGCAGATTGCTTTACCTGTACACTGCAGGTGGCAGCAATGACGCCATCTACTGGTGTTTCTGAGAACGGGTCGAACGTTCGGTCTGATCTCCTCATGAAATCTGGCTTCAACAAATACCTGCCACAAAAAGCATTGACAAAACTTCAATATTGTTCATGGTTTGAGTAAAGAAGGCGTCGCAGAAGGAGGCTCCTCACCCGCAGGAGCCGTTGTACTCAAACTTGCCCTGGTTCAGCTGCATGGCCAGATCTGAAGAGCAGCAGAAAAACTGTCAAGTCAAAGAATTACAACACTTGGGCTCAAATTAGAACTAAATTAGTAGTTTTAAAATAGATTAGCACAGTTTACCGACGTTGTGTGTCTTCTAAAAATCTAAATAATGTGATTTTATGTGTGATTTAATTGATTTGAGGATGTTTGGGTTTGGGGTTGATACTGGTAGAGAGTGCTTGTCTGTATTACTGTATAAGGAGAAACACACACACTCAAAAAAATTAAATTCATTAGTACTACTCCAGTCCTAAATTAAATAAATAGAACCTGAGAAATACCATTGTGTTTCTATTAGTATCAAAATATCTGCCCTGGGACAGATTGATGGAAGTGAATCTAGTCTTAAATCTAGAAAAATATCAACACGGAAGTCAATTTAGCCCTCTCTTTAGATTCACTTTAAGAAATATGTCTTTTTTTCTGAGACATCCGTGAACTTTTGGAGAAAACATGTGCAAAAGCAGTTGCACTTTAGCGCAGGTCATAGTGTGAATGATTAGCTCGGCCCTCCCTCGTCTGCGTCCCCCTAGAGTCCCCCCAGAGCTCCGCATATGTCCCGCTCTGAGCTCCATCTGCTGGGACCTCTGAGCCTGTGGTTATAGGGCAGCAGCTGCTTCAACAGGCTTCAGTCACTGCACTCCTACTCTCCAGCCCCACCACATTCTCAGCTTTTAATAATTAGTATTATTTTGAAGATTTGTCAATAGTTGTTTTTAATTCCTTTTCAATTTAACTTTCAGCTTTGGATCTATAACAACAGTCTATTCACTAATAATAAAGACATCCTTTCCAACATTTCGTTCCAAAATGCCTTTTTTCCCATAGAATTGTAATATCACCAACCCTCCAAATGAAATACAATTTTACAAAAAACAGGCAAAATATTGGTTAAAAATGCAGAGAAATCTGTGGAGCAGGATATGAGAGGGATTGGACAAGTTTATGCAGAAAATTCCTGATGGACTTTTGGTAAAGAGGATCAAATCAAATCAAACATCCCACGCCAGTGCAATGTCCGTCTGGCCTGAGTGTCCATGGTCACGTGTTGCCGTGGTTACCTGGGGTCTGGAAGTTGAGCGAGACCATCTGGCAGCCGGCGTTCCAGAAGATCTGAGGCATGTAATTACTGGAGTCCACTCTGCCGCCTTTGGGGTAGATCCGACTCATCTGCCGTTTGTTATAACTGCAGCAGTGCTCAGGAAAGACAACACACAGAGAAATACAAACAGAAATACAGAAAAACCTCTGCAAAATATCAATAATCTCTCATGAACAACTGTATAAGGCACTTTTAAATAATCTTCATCAGCACTGGAGGAAATGGGAAAATCTTGAATATGGCCGAAAGTAAGATGTAATAATGAAGTCAATAGAATTAAATTCACACTTTTGTTGCCAGAATCCTCCTGTCTGTGACACATGTTGCTCTGATTACACTGGTTACTGATGCAAACCACCTGCTGGGGTTTAGCTTAAAACTCTTCGTACCTGGTTTAATTGATGTGGTGCTATATATTTTTGTTATGTTTTTTCCCTAAAGATAAGAGCCAAAACTAGCAACCAAGAGACAAATGTTCTCTGGATAATCGGCTTGAAAATTACACTGTTGAAACTATATAGACAAACATGTATAATAGAGAGAATAATTTGAGTGAAACACCTTCTAACTGTTTTTTAAATATAGTTTTCGAAAGATACATGTAAAAAGAAAATTTGAAAATTGTTCAAAATGTAATTTACGACTTGATAACATACTAAGTAACAAATCCCAAGCCTTTGTTTGTTACAATTTGATTACGGCTTACAGACAATTTGTTTGATGTTTTATTTGAGGTTTTTACAAGCTGTTTTATCCACATAAAGGCATTGTAATTTCCCCACAGTGGGACTAATACAGGTTAATCTGATTTTATTAATGCCCCAACACATACATAAATAACTGGTTATTAGGGATGGCTTTTTTACATTTAAATCAGCATGTCAATAAATTAAACATAGTTCATAATTGGTTAAAACTACTGTAATTAGAAAAACCCTAAAACTCAGCCTGGACAGCACTCTCGCTTCTCAGCAAGAAGGCCCTGGGTTCGAATCCCGGTCGGAACAGGGGCTTTCTGAGTGGAGTTTGCATGTTCTCCCCGTGTCTGCGTAGGTTTCCTCCGGGTGCTCCGGTTTCCCCTACCACTAAAAACATGCACAATAGGTATGAATGTAAACGAGAGAGTGAATGGATGCTGTTGATTGAGAGCTGATGTGACGACTCGCTTCTGTCATCACCGTGTGTGGAATGATTGGAACAATATCTGAACTCTGAACATTGTAAAGCGCTTTGGGTGACCTTGGTCTGTAAAATGCGCTATATAAATAAACATTTCTTACATTACTTACTTACTTACCAAATACATTTGTTTGCAGCATGCTTTTGAAAACTAAAGGAATGCAGAGCTATTTTTAGGGGGAACAGTTGTGGTGAAAGTGTCCCATTAGAGACACATGAAGAGAGGCTGCAGTCCCAGGTCTCCAGAGCCTTGAACACGACAAACCACACGAAGCACACACAGCTGAGCCACACAAGCCGACACCAACACGGTCTACAACTGAACTGACAGGAAACAAAATGAGCCATATAATGGCTCATTTTTGGTGATTCTTTTCTCAGGGTATGCTCACACTCATTTAGAATGTTTAAAGGCGAGATTGCATTGACCTTTGTGACTGATTATTATTGTGACTTATCTACCATTATTTAACAAAAAAACAAGAATCTAAACTGCATTTTACATCTAGAGGGACTTTAACATGTTTTCATAATTACTATTTTTTATTTATATTATTTACTAATATCTTTTTGAGATTATTGAGTTATAATCGACATTTATTACTACCATTATTAAGATTTTATTGGGGTAGTTTTTTGTTAACGCCCCAAAAAAATCTTGTAAAACACAAAATATAAATGTGAGTTTTACTTTTACTTATTTACTTTTTACTTGTATTTACTTGTGAGAGACACAGTTAATGTGATTTTAGAGGGAAAAAGTCAGTCATTTAACTGGTTTTGAGTACCTTTTGTGCGTAGGGGAAACAGACAAGGGGAGAACATGCAAACTCCACTCAGAAAAACCCTATTCCGACCTGGACCTTCTTGCTGAGAAGCGAGCGTGCTAACCACTGTGCCACCGTGCAATAAAGCATCTATGAGTGTCCAAAAATGTCTCTGCAAGATTACTATAGCAACAACACATCATCAGTAGGGTAAAACTAACTTGTCTCACGACGGTCTAAACCCGTCTAATTGTTATTAGTGGGTGAACAATCCAACGCTTGGTGAATTTAACAAATACATTAGCTCAGTTGAAGGATACTTTACAAACTCGATGGCGTTAGTTTTTAAGTATCCCAAACCGACCGGCTCGTTGAATGAGGACATGTTGTGATGAATGTTCCGCTCTGAAAAACAGGTTGCAAGAGTTAGAAGAGAAGGAGCAGAGCAGAGCAGAGAAGAGTAGAGAGTGAGTGTGAGTAGAGTAGAGTAGAAGTGGAGTGGCAGTAGAGTAGAGTAGAGTAGGAGTGGAGTGGCAGTAGAGTAGAGTAGAGTAGGAGTGGGGGTAGAGTAGAGTAGAAGTGGAGTGGGAGTAGAGTAGAGTAGGAGTGGGGGTAGAGTAGAGTAGATTAGAGTAGAGTAGGGTAGGAGTGGGAGTAGAGTAGAGTAGGGTAGGAGTGGGAGTAGAGTAGAGTAGAGTAGAGTAGTAAATACTGTAGCTGGAAATTCTTGAAATACCTTCTGCCACGTCGAAGCTCTGAAACTTGACCGGTTGTGCGTAGTTGACCATGGCGGACAGATACGGGTGGATGTTGGTGGTGGCTCCAACATACGTGTACTGAGCGATGAGAGCCTCCTCTATGTCCTCTGCCACCTCCACAATCTGCACACGGCAAGCAAAAATCACTCGTCACATGTAAAAGTAAGAAATCTATATCAGTGTTTGTCAACCAGTGGGCCGTGGCATGTTTGTGTGCCTTGAGACTTGATCCATCATCATCTATTCTAATTGGTATAATGTGACAAGAAAACAATGTGAAAAGATTAGAACGAATGATTGTGCTTGTTTGATCTGATACACTTTGATGAAAATTACTTTGCTTTCTTAATACAGGCTACAGAGTTTAATTTTTGCCTCAATTATAGCTGGTGGTGTGCCGTGAGATATTTTTGCAGTGAAAAAGGTGTGCCACAGCTCAAAAAGGTTACACTGATCTATATTCCTGCATTCACAAAGCACTTTACAACTGTTGTGAACACTTGTTGGTGATGGAAACGGGGCCGTCATACAGACAATGTTGAAGAATGAAGTTGAAAACGTTACCTTCTTGTTGTTGTCTTGGTCTGAGGCCTCTGAAATATCGGTGGCATCTGTTGCTTCTGTGACTTCAGAAATCTCGGTGATGTCGTCTTCTGCCACCTACAGAACAAGCAGAAGTGTGTGAAGCTGCGGCAACTTTAAATATGAAATTAATAAATAATAATACAAAAAAATAATGGCTTGGGTTTTAAAACTTCTTCCCCGCTCCTTATCGAGCTGACTTTTTGTTAATTAAAAAAAACATACTGTATATTTGTATTTTATCATGTATTGTGCTTTTTTTCTATTCTGTTGTTTTGTTGTTGTTCTTTGTTCTTGTTTGCCATGTATTCATTCATTTATATATTTTTCGATTCCCTCCTGCTTAGCTTCCGAGGTCCGACTGCTGAACATGATGAAGAAGTGGCTTTATCAATGTTATGCTAATGCTAACAGCCATTTTGTTCAGCATTGCTAATGTCAACCACTCTCAAAGCAAAAGAGGATGTAGAGGAGTGCTGTAGAAATGAGGTTATAAATGTAGGTAGGAAAGATTATAATATCTTTAGATTTTGCCTGGACCTGGAACTACTGTCTGTAAAAAAGGTTTTCTTGTCGCTCCGCTGGATATCACTAAATGCTTGGTTGTCTAACATAAGGAGCACTCTTTATGAGGGATTTTAATAAAATTCTCCAAATGAAAGTATCAAAACATTCCCGAAAAACAGCTTACTGCAAAAAAAGTATTTGTAGAGTGTGTGTGAAGTATTTGTAAAGTACTTGTGTGTGTACATGATTGAAAGGAAGTACCTTCTTGAAGCTGTTGTTACACTCATCTTTCCTGGAGGTGACTGCGTTGCCGTGGGATACGCTGTTGCTGTCTTTCTCGCTGGGTCCGTCCGAAAGGCTGCTCGGAGCCTCAGAGTTCAAGTCCTTCTCCTCTGGGTCCTTGTCCTCCTTCTCCCCTGTAACAGTCATCCTCAGAGTAAGTGGCATTCGGAGTAGCATGAGTTTTTCTGTATGTTTTCAGTATTTTTTGCAACTTGTATTGCGTCTGTCGCAGGGGGGCGCAGCACTGCTGTCGACCCTGGTTTTCACCTTGTTCTTTAGGATGGACGAGGCCTTGTTGGTATTTCTTCCAATTGTACTTTGAATGTAGTGCCGATATTTTGCTGGATGTGTGGCTTTTATGCAATTTAAGGTGACAACTAAAGACAATTTTCCACCTTGGTGGACAATAAAGTTTTTGTATTCGTATTCTTATCTCCAATGAAAATGTTCTATCTCACTATGATTTCAATTCTAATCAATTTAGTTTGTTGCATGACTTGAGATGCAAACATCTCAGATGCAAATTAAATTTAGAAAAATATGCTTTTTTCAGTGTTCAGAAATTTTCTATAAAGTAGTCAACTATTGTTTCTCTTTTTTAATAATTGAGCATGGGAATGATCTCATTTCTTTAGAGAAATGCTGTTTAATTTTTTCCAACAGACATCATGTATCTGATTTTAAACATCTAAGAGTGCAACATTTGTGACTAAAGAATGAGCCTCAGTATTTTACAACAATATAGTAAGCTCCAGTGAGTTCTATGGATCTCAGAGTAAAGCAGTCACTCCTTCACGTCAGTGGGAAACAGTCGAGGTAGCTTAGGCATCTGTTTTTGATGGAGAAGTGTTCCGAGGGTGTCCCACTGGGAGGAGGTCCTGAGGGAAGACCCAGACCCACTCAAGGAACTATGTCTCTCTCTCTTGCTTGACTGGGACGCCTCAAGATTCCCCTGGACAAGCAGGAGGAAGTGTATATGATGGACAATGATAACCCGCCGGCTCAGAAGCCCGAAAGTCATAAAGATAAAGTTTTGCTCCTTCTCGCTCTGGCTCCAATTGACTTACATTGAAAAATAAACTCCTCTAGCTCAGTAAAAGTAAAAGTTTATATTGTGATATTATTGTCTTTGTAAAACCAATCAGCGCCGAGACATCTGCTCTATCTGGTGCACACTGAGGAACTCTTGCTCAGGTATTCCAATGTGGTTTTCCTGCAAATGGCAAATAAAGTAAATCTGAATCTTCTGCTGCAGAGTTCAGCTTTGGCTCGTGAGTAGCGCAAGAGGGGAAAAACTGGCGCCGCTCCTCAATGGCTTTTTAAAAAACTCAAATTCTATGTTTTTTTCCCCAGGATGGATGCATAAAGAGCCCCTACACACCGTTCTCCGTTTCGTCTTCCTCTCCCATTATAATGGCTCGAGTGTTGGTTTCTCCTGCTTCCATGTGCTTCTTGAAGGCCTCTAGTTGCTCTGCGGAGAATATTAAAAAAACAATTACATCACATCTCTATGAAAACTCCCCAGGACAGAAGCAAGGGCAGGTTCCATACGCACTTTGTTCCACTTCTGGTTTCAAGCGTTTGTTTTTGATAAGGATTTTTTTCTTAAGGTCGTTGGGAGAAGGTAGAGACCGCCCTGCTTCAATCTGTAAAACATTTCATATCAAATCAAACAATACACTTTGATAATGTCATTTTAACTATATATATTTTTAACATTTAGTGTAGACATGGATGTATGTATATTTATCTATCATAGGTTAGTGATACAGGCTGTGTTTACCGGATAATTCTCCAGTGGCAGCTTAAGGAGTAAGTCACCAAATATTTCTTCACAATATTTGGCCATTTTCCACTGCTGCGGTTTACTGGAAATGAGTATTTCATGTTTTATTATATTGCAAACAAGTTATTTCAAGACATAAAAAGGACACAAAATAAACCGATATACACAGTTTGAAATAAAGACAATGTTCAACTCAACATTTACCTCATAAAATCATACAAAATATGAAGACTATTACCTGCAATGGTTTTCAAAGGACAAAATGACAGGGTATTCTGATGTGACAAAGGCAGTTTCCTTAATGGCTTGTATAACATCCTGCAGATTCAAATAAAAAAGGTGAGAATATGGCATTGTCACAGTAAATCCTCCAGGGGGCGGTGTGTCGTCAGTAATAGTACCTTGAACAGGATGTCTGTGCACATGGCTTTTCCATGAGTGATAATAGGCTCCTGGTCTTCTCCTTTTCCGTCCCAGCAGTCCAGTTCCACACATCTGACAACAGCAGACAATATCAATTGGATTAAATGCATCAAAAGATAAAAATATCTGTTGTAAATAGGCCTGGCATGATAATTACTTTATCAACTTATCGTTCAAAACTAACAATAAATGATGACGTTTGATATTTGTTATTTGTCTTTTTCTCATTTTTGACATTTTCGTTGTGTTCCTTGACTTTTAGCTGTTGAACAAGTCATTTTAAGTCAATCAAGCGATTAAGCTATATCGTATAAATTATATATACGTAATATTATAAAGTTTATTGCAATGTTTTTCAGCTGTATATCCTCCACATTAGGCGCCACTCGGCCTGTTTAACCTATATTTAATTCACATGCTTTAGTGAAACGGCTATAACATCCTAAAGACTTTTATTTTGGAAACATACTTCCCCAAAAGCAAATTTCTACTGGATAAAAGCACAAGAATAGATTATTGCAGTGTATGTACAGTATGTGTCATTCATCCATGTTTGTAAATGTGCTGGAGAGACAGCCCTGATACCTGCAGCCCGACAGCAGCACTTGTCGGTACATCTCCACCGAGGACTTCCCTCCGAACTGTCTCCCTGTCAGGTACGTGTTGTGGGAGGAGCTGATGAAGTAGTGGGCCAGGGGCTGGTCCATCTCCTGGTACAGCTCCAGCCGGTCCAGGAACACAGGGGCGTTTTCATCCGACATCAAATACCGACAGAAACCATCACTGGACATCAGGCCTGAGGGAGAGGGGTTTAGTCAGGGTGTGTTTACTCTGTGATATAGAGATTAGAATACACTTTGAAGGCTGCTTGACTGTGTGGAACATGGTACAAACATAGTAGGAGGAAGAGGACAATAATCAATAATGTGATTCATATCGCTGCAATCAATTAAAGTATAATGATTGGTACTGTATTGTACAAAAATACATTACCAACAAAGTGCTTTTGAAAGAAATGGGGAAATGGAAAATGCAATAAACTAAGCAGCAGAATTCAGTATGAACATCGCACACATTCATACACTCAGGACTTCCCTCCTGTTCTCCACAACACAAAACACAATAAGTACATGTGTATGTGTATAATAATGTATATATATATATATATATATATATATATATATATATATATATGTACCCAAGAAGAAGTGTAATTACTCAGTTTATGTACGTTTATGGGTCTTCATAACTTTTTCGGTTTCTATATGTAGTTTTTTTCCCATGTTTTTATGTTTATGAAATTATCACGATCTTCCACTGGTTCAATAAATAATATATCATTTCTTAATTTAAATGTATCACTATCGTACAATTAAATATGAGATTTCTGCTTCCATGTTCTGGCAAAAGTAGTATTACTATGATAAGGACAATTGTCAGGTTGCACTGTGAGGACACATGGGTTTAAAGGGGATGCGGGTGGCAGAAAACTACTTCTCGCTCCCCGTTGAGGAACAAGTAGCAATTAATGTTAAGATGAAAATATTAATTTGTGTTTTCTACAACGTAAATAGGTATTTTGTCGTCCATGGTAGTTTCTTTGGAATATAATAATCAATCCATTAAAATAAAATTCTATATGATTTAGCTGATAAATGTAGCAATGCATAATATGGATGATTGTATTTCAAGATCCAACGGGGAAATGTGGAATTTATTCATAACATTACAAAGTCTTGCACTCTTGAACAGATTTTATCAATGTGAGATTAAATTAATTAAAAATGTTAATAGTAGAAAATGTATTAGTAAAGGTTAATTGTAGTGTCACAGTGACACAGACAGGGGGCGCCACAAGATCACACGTTCTAATTTGGCATACTACAATAATTAGCCTTTGATTAATGACAGATTTTCATCTTTTATAATCTGAAAATGTTCTTTTATTACCTTCACACATAACCCCAAAATCAATTTTCATGAAGTTGTAATTGGCTAAAATGCAAAAATACGTGTTTGTGTTTGAGTTTGTGTGTGTATGTGTGAGTAAAAGAGGTCCTAACCAAACAAATGTCTGCTTCGTCCAAAGTCTTTTGAAACTCAATGAGGCTTTTATTATTTGTATCCTGCTAATTTTTGTTTATCTTGAGTTAAAAAATTCTAAAAAAAAAATTTACTACTTAAAACTTGTCCCCACGAACGGTTACCTTTCTTTTTGAGCTCGTCGTCCCGCTCGTACTTCTCGATAATCTGCATGGCTCTTTTGGGGTCGTAGAACGGGAACAGGATTTCATTTAGTCTCGGGTCGCGCTGGTTCTGAAGATTCAACAATAACAATTACACCATCTACAACAAGATCCCTCGCTACATGAAGGGCATCCAAGCAAAGCATTTTTTTGGAAGCTGAAAATGCATGAATAAAAAAAATGTCTGCAGAAAATAACCCATGTATATTATCTTAAAAAGAGATAGACGTTTAATCTTATTGAATCCCACCATTTTTAGCATAATCTCTAAATACAGTACATTTAAATAGATTCTATCTTTAAGCAATGGCAATGACATTATGCCCAGTGACAGACACATTTCTAACTCTAACCCTTTCATTAAACTACTTGCTTATTGTTATTGCCACTAATTGGACATCCCCAACTTATGTCCAGCTATTGCAATACCATATAGTATTTAATTCTTAAGACTGGATTCTTACTCAATAAGCAATAATGACATAGGCACAACACCAGCATTAGAATAGGTATAAGCTAAGTGTAGAACGGGGATCAAACTAGGACCAAACCAGCAAAATACAATCACTGCATTTACATGAGAGGAGAAAGTTTAAAAAAGAAATAGGTGTATCAAATTCAGATCCCGGTTAACAAAACAATCCTTTTGCTTCCGAGTCTGGCATCCTCATTTATACTTGTGCATTTCAACTCTGTGTGCAGTCCCAGATCCTCACGTCGTAACCTTCTGGCTGTTCCTTGTGTGAAACGGAATGCATTATGCTCCTTGTAAATGAAACACACCGACTCCAGGCTCATTCAAGAGTAAACTATAGACCCACTTAACACTTGTCAAATGTCAAGAGTGGAAGGGGCCTGTATGTATACTGAGACAAGAGAGGTCTGGGTCTGCATGTATACTGAGACAAGAGAGGTCTGAGCCTGCATGTATACTGAGACAAGAGAGGCCTGGGTCTGCATGTATACTGAGACAAGAGAGGCCTGGGTCTGCATGTATACTGAGACAAGAGAGGCCTGGGTCTGCATGTATACTGAGACAAGAGAGGTCTGAGCCTGCATGTATACTGAGACAAGAGAGGTCTGAGTCTGCATGTATACTGAGACAAGAGAGGTCTGAGTCTGCATGTATACTGAGACAAGAGAGGCCTGGGTCTGCATGTATACTGAGACAAGAGAGGCCTGGGTCTGCATGTATACTGAGACAAGAGAGGCCTGGGTCTGCATGTATACTGAGACAAGAGAGGCCTGGGTCTGCATGTATACTGAGACAAGAGAGGTCTGAGCCTGCATGTATACTGAGACAAGAGAGGTCTGAGTCTGCATGTATACTGAGACAAGAGAGGTCTGAGTCTGCATGTATACTGAGACAAGAGAGGCCTGGGTCTGCATGTATACTGAGACAAGAGAGGCCTGGGTCTGCATGTATACTGAGACAAGAGAGGTCTGAGCCTGCATGTATACTGAGACAAGAGAGGTCTGAGTCTGCATGTATACTGAGACAAGAGAGGCCTGGGTCTGCATGTATACTGAGACAAGAGAGGTCTGAGCCTGCATGTATACTGAGACAAGAGAGGTCTGAGTCTGCATGTATACTGAGACAAGAGAGGTCTGAGCCTGCATGTATACTGAGACAAGAGAGGCCTGGGTCTGCATGTATACTGAGACAAGAGAGGTCTGAGCCTGCATGTATACTGAGACAAGAGAGGTCTGAGCCTGCATGTATACTGAGACAAGAGAGGTCTGAGCCTGCATGTATACTGAGACAAGAGAGGCCTGGGTCTGCATGTATACTGAGACAAGAGAGGTCTGAGCCTGCATGTATACTGAGACAAGAGAGGTCTGAGTCTGCATGTATACTGAGACAAGAGAGGTCTGAGCCTGCATGTATACTGAGACAAGAGAGGCCTGGGTCTGCATGTATACTGAGACAAGAGAGGTCTGAGCCTGCATGTATACTGAGACAAGAGAGGTCTGAGCCTGCATGTATACTGAGACAAGAGAGGTCTGAGCCTGCATGTATACTGAGACAAGAGAGGCCTGGGTCTGCATGTATACTGAGACAAGAGAGGTCTGAGCCTGCATGTATACTGAGACAAGAGAGGTCTGAGTCTGCATGTATACTGAGACAAGAGAGGTCTGAGCCTGCATGTATACTGAGACAAGAGAGGCCTGGGTCTGCATGTATACTGAGACAAGAGAGGCCTGAGCCTGCATGTATACTGAGACAAGAGAGGTCTGAGTCTGCATGTATACTGAGACAAGAGAGGTCTGAGCCTGCATGTATACTGAGACAAGAGAGGTCTGAGTCTGCATGTATACTGAGACAAGAGAGGTCTGAGCCTGCATGTATACTGAGACAAGAGAGGTCTGAGCCTGCATGTATACTGAGACAAAAGTAGCTTGGTCCATGTTCTCTTCCCATTTAAATGCAGTGAGTGTGATTCAAACAACACATGGTAAAACGACATTCGGGTTGAAAGCGTGCTATACACAACACGGGCAGCACAGAAAGTGTCCATGGTAACTACAGGAGCAAACGAGAAGCATTTGAAGCTCAAAACAAGCAGAGAGGAGATTGACCGGGCGGCATGCGGAGGAGGGAGAGGAGGGAAGACGATGCTCTTGTGGGACCCTTCATTTAACCACAGCAACGAGGTCATGTCTGGATCGGTGTTGGTTGGTTTACGAATGGAGTTACAATTTGGAAACTATGATATTATAGATTCCATTGTTACCACTATGGTGTGCACTGTGTGAATGCCAGGCCTTATGCAATGAATGTGCCAATTAAAAAACCTTATTCAAAGGAAAATCAGTGCCTATTAATTTGGTCTCCAGATGGGTCCCAAGATTCTTTCTGGACCCAAATTTTGACTGCTGTAAACTGTCCAAGTGGCCTTTCCCAGTTTGTACTCAGTGAATATATTTCTAAACAAACTAATAAGTGAAACTGCAAATGAAAATACAAATTAGGCTACTATCAGCATTTTGCAACAGATTTGTATTATTATTATTATATATCATGTAGATCAGACTTCTAAGTTCAACCCTCTTTCCTGCTGTTGGCCGTTTCTATAACGAACAACGTGTATGAGGAATCATTGTACTATAACGGCTACTGATGGGAACTTAAAATGTTGCTGGTGGGATAAATAAAGTGTAGTTGAAGAGTTTCACCTGTTGTCTATGAATCTAATCTAAACTTTATAATGGAGTTAGTTTAGATTGCAGTTTAAAGTTTTTATATTCCCAAAATGGCTCAGTTCTAATCTAAAACTCTACACTTTCAGTCACATTTTCTGGTTGTAAATAATAAAAAAAGGCAAACCATTTTCCACTACTGGCTTTTTAAAATATATCTGCTATTTTTTGATTCTCTACTCTACAAGGAAATCTTCAGATATGACCAATCACAGCCATTTTGGATTGTAATAGTGGCGTCTGGCATGAAGTAAAACATATGCACTTTTCTTTCCCTGTAAAAGCCAAAACAAGATTTTCAGAGCCAACGAATAAGCGTTTTCAAGTCAAATCAATTCGTGTTTGTCTCTGCAGTGCTGGTTCTGTCCCACTTCAAACATAACCAACACAAGGTCGGTACAAGGGCATCTTCTTCCCAAACAAAAGCGTCGCGCCACATGCACAAAAGCCAGCACAGACGAGGACACAGAGTTAATGAATGAAAAAGAGCTTACTTCATTCAGAAAGCTGACTAACTGGTCTACTGTTAAATAATCAGTATTGTTCCCATTGCTGCAAAGAATTAATTAGAAAAAAAAACAAGTTATGCTTCTTAAAATAGACACCCTTGCATTCAAACATTCAGCATAACGGTATCAGTTTAGTAATACGAATACGAAGTTAACTGGACACTGAAACAACTCCAGTGTATAAGCAGGTTAGGCTGTCCAGACGTTAGTGCAACAGGCGGAGAGACAATCGCCCACATTTACACAATAGTCACTGCAAAGATTCCATTCGAGTCTAAATGACTTGAATACAGATGATTAGGAGGTTTTAATCGAGTTGTTTGAATTATTTTAAAGAAGAAATACTATGTGCTTGCTTTGCCACTCAGATGTATAACGAGACCATTTACTTTGTCCTTTCATAATTTAGAATGTGAAATAATATCTTAAGGGTATATAGATGTAGGAGGATTTTCTACTTCCGGGTATTTCATCAAAACTATTGGTCCTCCCAGTTGTCAATCATTCTGGTGATATGTGCTCGTCCAATAAGACCAGAGAGTTATGTTCAAAAAGTGGAGAGGGCGGTTCTTTCCTAAAATTTGGGAAAATCTTCCAATATACCTGAAAATATATGGTTTGTGTATTATTATTGTTTATAGTTTTTTTTTTTAATTACTAGTAGCAAACTCAGATATGTGATTCATTAATCGAAGACATCTCTTTTTGCCAATACTTTTGTTTTTAAAAAAATCAAAAAAACTGTTACCTGAGTGTGATGTCATAGTGGTACAATGACATCATAGTTTTACACGACTGAGCAAGGAGCTTTTAGACAGAAGGGGGGGTGGAGTTAAATATTTCTACCAGATGTCTCTTATTTTTGCGTGGGTGGATCTAAAAACAACTCCAGGTCTGTGACTGATGAGGAAACAAAGTAATGTTGTAACATGGTTAAAAGAGAAAAAGTCAAATTTGCCGAATATTTCTCCTAAACTAAAGATAGCAAAGCGTTGGTGTTCTTAATTTATTTTTTTCCATCGATAATTAGGTCCCAAAAGAAAGTGTGTGCAGTGAACAAACGCAACCACATTCTGTCTTGATCCTTTTTTAAATTATATTAAGGAGCCCTTGTAAGTCACTTTTAGACGCTTTGGGCAGAGAGCTGATTGGCTGAGTGAGGGCGGTCCCTTTAGCTTTTCTGTCAGACAAAGCTAATGTAAAGTAAATAATGGTGTTTTGAGAGTGGGGCACAAGTTGGATAGATAATGTTTCATAGTTTTTAACGTGGTTTGACAGTTGGTATTGGCTTAAAGTATTTAGAATTGAGTAAAAATAGATGGACCATTTTTATTGGCCACAATTTCTAGACATTGAATACATTATTTTACATTGTATAAATCAATGGTTACACAATGTTTGTTATTTTGTTATTTTTTGTGCATTTAACCGACCACAAAGATAACATCAAAATCTGAAAGAAGTGATGCTTTGTTGCCTGTTGTGTGTCCAGTAAAAGAGAACCATTCTGCATTCAAGTCATTCAAACTCGCGGTGTCTATTTCTTTTTTGCAGTGCAGTAAATCTGTATTCCAGTTCGATAAAAGAAGAGCATAAATAAGTTGGAGCCTCACATGTTCTTAAATAACTCCTCGATGTCAGTGCGCGGGCAGATCTTCTGGGTCAGAGCGTAGAAAATGTCAAATGTGAAATCGGAGTGTTCAATTTCATCGTTCTGTGAAAAACCACATGGAGAAAGTGCAAGAAGTAGTTATTTTAGTTCAGAGTAGTTTTGAAAAGTTCACAAAGGCCTTACCTCTTAATTCAAACAAAATAAAACCATAGTGACTGAAAAATCAAAACCAGACTGACATTGTATTTTTTCAGTCACTTTTTGCAGTGTAATAGCAACGTATTGATTTTTGAAAAAGTTTCTACCTAAAGCTGGCTATGGACTACTGAAGTTTTTGTTTTGTGAGATTTTAGGTCGTGACACAGACCACAGACATATGGATTCTGTATCTGAAACACACTTTTCACTTGCCATATCTGTAAAGGACATGGCTGCATCCAAATTCAATAACTACACCTCCTACCTTCCCTGTCATTCAATCTTAAATACATTAGGAATCAAAATCACATTTACCATAAAAACTTAACAGGGGATTTGAATTAACTTTACCAAATCTGGACAAACATTATCTCATTAAATGTCATTTTATAAAACAATGAAGAATAAAGGGAGGAGGAATCAAAACAATTGGAATGCAGCCCAAGAACAGCGCCAGTCTTCCCGCAAACATCCGTCCAATTCTTGGGGCGGGGAATATATAAAAAACATTGCGGATTTACCGAATGACGTATGGAGGCTATAGACATTAGTTCAGAGGCGACGGTGCATCATCCACTGACTGTTTTAGTTAGACATAAAACTACTGCGCTCTGGACACAGGGGTCGCGCTCTGGTTGTATCCAGAGGTTATATGTCTTGGTGATATTTGACGGAATCCACTGACGCCACAGACAAAACGAGTCCATTGTAAAACGAGGGCAGCGGAGAATATACCTGTCGAGGAAATTTAACTCTTTTAATGTAAACAGGACAATTCTCAATAACTTTTACCGCTCTTTTATTGAAAGCCTTCTCAGCTTTTATTTAATCTGTTGGTTCCAAAGCCTGACGCTGAAGGAACAGGAACAGGTGCTCAGCCCAAACATCCTCTGATCGCTGACTTAGCGTAACGATACCTTCAGGGCGTCGCTTTAATTCTCCAGCTCGGGAAATAAGAGGTTTTTTTTTTTTCAAAGAACCTAATGTGTAAGTTGTCCCAGTGAAGATTTGGTCAAATATAAAATATATATAGATATTCAAACACATTGATTTCAAACCTTTCCACTCGGTAAGCCAAGATCCTTCAAAGCCTGGAATATTCCCTTTTCTGTCTTCCCTGATGCAAATGTCCGAGTAATTCTTAAGGAGAGAGCGGAGGAAAGACAAGGCGTGAGCTTCATGTAAAACACAGCGGCTGTTTTGAGTGACAGCTCTTAAGAACTTATTTGGATCTGCGGCGTACCCTCTGACTGGAATCTTCCCGTTCACGTTTGTCAAAAAGCACATTCTCATCCAGCTGAAAAAGAAGAGGAAGTGGAGTTAGACACTTACTGTCTATTGTAGAGATGGACCTCACACGGATTGTATGTGCATATATTTCATAACACTGAGCAAATTAAACTAATTTCAGTGAGAGCGAACTGACTGACTAAGATTTTGTCTTGTCCATGAAACAGTTGTTATTTTGAGAGTAGCATGTGTGTTGTGTTGTGTCTGATGCTAAAGTGACACGTTCTGTGCAGTGGACAAAGCACTCACTGTTTCTTCAGGCAGGTCATTGGACACACATTATTGGCCTTAAAGTTGTGAATAACTGACCGCAGGCCTTCTATCCACCTCTGCGAAACAAACAAACAAAAAGGGAGAAAGTCACACATATAGACCTAGCCTGGCCTTAGCCATCCGTACACTGCGCTCAATCATCATTTCAATGATAGGTCTGGTCCCTGTGTTTGCGATTACAATCAACACACAAACGTGTGCAGAAATATAACTGTTCTTTGCTGATTCATGAGAAAGAGACTGAAACCAAAACTAACAAACTGTAATTAGAGAAAGGAAAGTTCAGAAAATCTGATTTTGCACACTGTGTCTTCTTTACCAGAATAATCTTAAGGACAGTTTTCTAGTATTATCTGTGCAGCCATTGTGTATTCAAACATTGCTCATTTCTGGTTTTGTATTGTCTTGAAGGTGCTGGAGCAGAACCAGTGGCAGGGCTGCGTGGGAGGCGTGTGCAGTGGGGACTCTGTTGGCCAGTTCATTTAACCTTTCTGAGCCTGACCAGACATAAAGAAGCAGCATTATTCACACAGTTGACTAAATCCGGTTTGTGCTTTGAAAATACAAACACAATGAATGACTAAGTGCCCTTGAGAATATAATGCTGTTGTTCCGCACACTTTGGTCTCCCCAAACCAAGGCCAGCGTTTCAGGGACAGAGACAGTGTGACGGACGTTTCTGCTATTGGAAGGTCAGACATTCACTTTTCACAATGATCTCAATTCTCGCGGGGGCAGCAGTCTAAGCAGAGACTTCCCTATCCACACACACTTCCTCCAGCTAGTAAAACCCTATCCAGATATTCTAATAGGTCCATGTGTGAGCCTCACTCTGGCCGTGTCGGGGGTGTCTGCCACCATGAACATGAAGTTGAGGTTGACGAGGTCCGTGCCGCTGCAGATGCAGATGATGCAGCCCTCCAGGTCGGCCTCACTCTTTCCCACCGCCTCGAACGAAGACAAGATTTTAGGGTCCTGCAAAAGCACAACACATTAGATACAGGAGCCAATACTCCTACATAAACCGTGGACAAAGTTCCACAATTCACGTCTCGAATCGCATCCTGAAGGCATCAATGAAACTGTATTGAATATCAGTCAGATCCATGTTGATCCGGGGCCAAAAAACAAAACAATAAGTGGTTGGGGGTCGTAAGTATTCAAGTGGTTTTCTTTTATCATAATTATTTTTTACACAATATATAAAATATTTGCAAATAATACATTTAATATGACATTAGTTTGTATGTTCTTTTCTGGAAGATATTAATGAAACAAACTAGTTTACTGTTTGGATTGAACCAAATCTTCTAATTGAAGACTGATATGAACAGCGCAGAGAGATTGAAGTGCAGAAAATACACAGGACTCGTTTTTATGATTATGGGGCTATTGCCAAAGCAGAGTTTAGGAACTTATTATTCTGACTCCATCAAGTTGAAGTAGGAATGTTATTGTTAAAAGTGCTTCAATCATCATGAGTCAACAGTGTTTTTCAACCAGTTTCCCGTGGGACGTTAGTGTGCCTTGAGATAACTAGTGTGGAATAGGGGTGGGAACCTAAGGGTACCTCACGATACGATATGCGATACAAAGCTCACAGTAACGATTATATCACGATATGACCATTATTGATATATTGGTCAGCAATATACCATATGCCAATATATGGCATACATAAAATAGAAACATTTTAAGTGAAAAAATACACTTTATTTCATGATAAATGGAATGGAGATGTGTAATGTAGCCATATATCAAGTATTAATACTAATACAAAAAAAAAATAATAATACAAAAAAATATGTTTGTGTTTTTTTTCAAAATCGATACTTGGTAAATGCATATCGATAATCAATCACGGGAGAAAGTATCGCGATATATCAAAAAATGGATATATCGTCACACTGTGGAATGTGACTATTATCACCTGTTGGGTAAAATAATGTGAGAAGATTTGAAAGACTTATTTGTGCTTGTTTGATTTTCTAATTAATACACTTTGATGAGAATGACTTTGAATTGTTACTAAAGGCTGAATATCTTCATTTTTGTTTCATTTTCAGCTAATGGTTTAGATTACTTACTTAGTAAGATTACTTACTTACTAATGGTGTGCCAAGTGATTGTTTTCAATGAAAAAGATGAGCCACAGCACAAAAAGGGTGAACACTACACTTACTAACAAACAAATTATTTTTAATGATGCCACACGGTTTCATACTGGCTCTGGGATCACATTTATTCAGTTTCTAGTTTCGGTACTATAGCTTGAGTATCTAATAATATCTGAATTGACAGGGTTTGAAAACCCTAGTCTAACCAATACATTAAAAGAACTTTAAAAGGTGAATTCAGACATAACTCCATAGGTCTAAAAATCACTCCAACTTCAATTTTAGATTTCAGATCCCATCTCCTCTTCAGAATTGAAAAGTCAGAATTCTGAAAAGGAGCGGATCCGTCTACACTGTATAAACTTCTGTCATCAAATGAGGCATACCTTGATGGATGAAGGAACGACACCTTATTTAGATATTTATAAGCAAAAATGTATGATACAAACATATTTAACAAAGGTAATTTTATGTTTTTATGTGTTTTCCACTAAAATTGCGCTTCATTTCCAGACTAGTCCAATGTAATCTAACTAAACTAGTCCCGGCGGATTTAAATTCTGCCTCAGAGATGATGTATTTTCCATCTGATTGAATAAAGAAAAGAGGAGCTTCAGGAGCAGAGCATATGAACGCTCAGGGCCATTCTTCTTTGCTCCTCATTAGATTATGGTGTAACATGAGCGTGTTTATTGTTGGAGGAGGTGAGAGCTGCAGGAGCTACTATCCCTCCCTTATCACCTCATGATTTTAATAAACAGCTATCATGTGTTTCTCAGAGATGCTACAGAGGCATAAGCACTCTGAGTTCCATTTAGGCTTCTCATGGACGTATTATAATAACCAGATGGGGTACTTCTAGCAATTCTCAAGGGCTACACAGGACAGGCGTCAATCGGCCGCAATAAAACAAAAGAAAATGACTCATCCTCTGCTGACAGTGAACCCAAGCTTTCACAACGAAGCTTAAGCTTGAAAATGTCCATTAAATAAGGTCATTCGGTTTTCGTTTTTTTAAATAACTCAAATAGTTTAATCTGGGAGAAAAGAGGAGTGCACTTTACAACTCATTACTTATTAGAACCTGTTGGATTATGCTCTGACAGTTTGTGACCTAACAGTTTTTTTCTTACCTAAACTAATCTAAGTAAGTAAAAACGTAAAAAATGCCTTGGCAATGGCTAAATCTATGTGTAAATATTTGATGTTTGGGATGGATGGAGTGGTGAGTGAGGGGCGGTCTGGATCCAAGCGCTGCGCCTAAAGCTCTAATTAAACCATGAGTAATGTGCCTTTGTTCTGCTTCGGTGTGGAGACTTTAGGACTTACCTTTGGGACGGAGCCGACGCGTATACTGTTTATGAGGGAGCACTCCAAAACCTGGCCCTCCTGTGGACACACACACGCACACGCACACGCACACACAAACACACAAACACACGCACACACACGCACACACGCACACACACGCACACACACACAGAGGTTAGTTTTCTGTTTTAGGTCATGAGGATCTAAATGTATGTTCTTCTAAAGCCGTTAAATTCACTGTCCCCAGTTTTATCACAGATGACGCGCTCAAAACTCATCACTGTAACTTTATTAAAACATAGGGCGGCCAACTATTCAATAAACTGGCTGATGTTTGTTTAACTGACTCTGACACAAGATCACAGGAACACTGTTTGCACAAGAACTGGACTCAGGAAGAAACATTTTGCAGCACAGAATGTTTTATATTGTCAAACGTTTGCCAAAATGCACACTCTGGTGCTACTTATTTTAATGATTTGATAAAAAATGTTATTAACATGAATGTAATCTAACGGTTCTATTGTTGTGTGTATAACGTACATCATGTATAGCAGTCTCCTGCTGTCAGTGTACAGACTTCACTAGACCCAGACCTGCGGCTGAGATCTGGTGAGATCACAGATTGTTTCTTCTCTAACATAGCTTTGCTCGATCTAAAAGATTCTTATGAACCTTAGTTTTAATAATTGAGCCATGGGGGTCACAGATGATCATACTATAGACAACAGAATCAGGTTGTGTCCCCTTTAACAAACTTTAACAATCCAAAATGTGTCACAAATATGGCAATCAAAATGTAATGTATATTTTACAAAACTTGTCAAAAAACTTGAAGATGTAGAATGTAGGTTCAGAGTGACGGAGGTACCTTGCCCTCGCTCTTCCACGTAATAAAGAAGCCGTATTCATCCACCTTCATTTGACAGTTTGGCTCAAACATGAACGGGTCCTGCACACACAATGACACACAATAACACACAATGAATGACTGTCAGAAACAAAGCAGGAACAAGTTTCTTTCAAGACTTTATTAACTGGTACTTATTTTTGTAATTTTCACTTGGCCTTATTCAGTGTGACATTTCTCGAGATGGATCTATGGAGCGGATCTCCAGTCATTCCCACTGGGCCAGCAATATGTTTTATGTACATTGGATTTGTCACAGAGTACTTTGACATCGCAATCTCAATATCAAGTCATATAAGATATAAACAGTGCTGTCATATTTTGTTTGTGAATTTTGTTATACTGTAGATATATACAGTATAAACAGATGACATTTAGACAGTTTTGGCTCTAAGAAACTGGTGACTGGTGGCTGAGTGGTTAGCAGAAGTAAGAAGGTTGGCTTTCTGCGTGGAGTTTGCATGCTTGTGTGTCTGTGTAAGTTTCCTCGGGGTGTTCCGGTTTCCCCTACCACTAAAAACATGTACAATAGCTCCCCTTCCGAAGGGGCCAGGACTCCCCTGAAAAAGAGATTCTGAAATCTCAGTTGGACTTTCATTGTTAAATAAAGATCAATAATGAAAAAAATACTGGTCAATAAAACACAAAAGACAAAAAAAAACCATCAATATTACATGATGTTCATTTAATTTCTAATGAAGAAAAACTTATAAACTTTAGTTCACAAAAAGTCAAATATGATTTGAAGTAGTTTTAATGTAAAATTTAAGTATTAGAGATGGCCCCTTAAATTCACTAAGAAATACATTGATTTAATGTATCATGAATATAATTGCAGAAGTCACCACGGGGTTAAAATGACTGTGTTAGCTCAAGTCAGAAATTATTGTCTTGAAAACTTGTCACCATTTCATTACATGCACTGTACAAATCACTTGATCCTCTGCTCCCTGGTGGCAGCGGGAGATGTTCTTATGGAAGCCTGATTGATTGTAATCAGTGAGGGTAAAACAGAGCAGAGATACTGACCGGTGTCATTAGGAGCCTTTAGAACAGCCTCATGCCAAACAGAGCAATCACTGGAAATCTATACATCGAAACAACTTCACCGGAGGAAGCTTTGGGACTCACAGAACAACTCAATGAACAAGATGTAAGGGTAGAAACAGATACGAGGAATACTCACTCTGAGGAACATTTTTGTCTTAATACTTTGATTAGAACATTTGTGTTTCAATCTGGAAAGATTGGGCACAGGATATATTTGAAGGATATTCATAGCGATGCATTTGCATGAAATATATCGGTTCATATGGATGTTCCAATCCGATACTGATCAGAAATTGGAAATGGCACTCGATTGAACAGCCTTTCCAGATCAAGCACAAGAACAAATTCACGCAATGCCACTCAAATATGTTTTTGTTTTATTGCATGATTTGTGTTATTTAGTGAATTTGGTTTATTGAAAAGAATGTATTTTGCATTTGGCTCATTATTTTGTGTTAATGTTTTAATCAGTGTAAATCACTTTTAAAACTTGATATAACTTCATTGTCTGTGTCAGAAAGAACTCTTCTTGTGTCATAATCTTAGCTTTCTCATAATTCATTATTTCATGAGTCAGCAAAGCAGCAGATTTACAATTTCCAAATGGAAGCTGAAGGGATGAGATAATGGGGAAAGTCCTACTGTTGAGGTGGTGATGGGGAGGAGGAGGGTTATGGCACGGGCAGAGTTACTGGACTGGAATGAAGCCAGGTGAGAGCGCCCACATACTTCATTACTTTTTATCATTTTGCGTGATCCGTCCCTCCAAACACATTCAACTAGAAGAATGTTACACAAATGAGGTTTTCTCCATTAAAGCTGGAGTACCTAACTTTCAAACCATAAAATTTAACAAAGAAATGAATCTATTTAACTAGTTCCTTGAAAATTAGTTTTCACACACATGTGTTATTTGGTCTTTTTCACATCTTTAGACCAGATTTTTCAGATGGTAAAGTGAAGGACAGTGAATAGAAAAGCTTTCTCACAGGGCTCTTTCTAAGTATGCAAAATATAACATGTTTTCTACTAAGATAATGACAGCATGTTGTTGTCTTTGCTCAAAACGCAACTCATAAACAACACAATTATGACAACTCCTATAATGAAAGTATAGAAGCTTTTCCTTGAGGCTGCAATAAAAAAGTTCCAGTCTGAAGGACAGTGTAACTTTATAACATTATATTAACATGCAGCTTTGTCCCATTTGCACCTCATATTCACATTCAAAGCTGTCAACATACATGCAGTGACCCTATTTGCATCCAGGCCAGTCCGAAGCTTCTTGCTCGTATTCATAGCATCAACACACGGAGGAGTTCTGCAGAGGCGACCGGCCCAATTTCGTTTGACTTTGTGGCCGAAATAGCTCAAGTTTTTATGTTTGTTCAAAGGAAATGGCCTCTATTTTCCACGACTTTCTTCTATATGTCACACGGTTACTTTTTTACCTTTATGTTAATCTGTCTTTATGCTTGAGGGACTTTCCTATCTCAAAATGTCCTTGGTAAACATTATTAGGTCTGTATACATAAAATACTGCATGAAAGTGTTAATGAAAGATTTAGACTACATTCAGATATCTAATACTTTTGAGAGCCTTTGGGGATGGATGGGCGGGAAACTTACAAAAAGTTACAGACAGTAGATGCCAAGAGTGGGCATCTTTCAGAGCATGCCAAGAATAAATGGCTATAAATAAACACTTTTGGTGCAATATCCAACGCTCTGCCCCATTTTAACAAAACATTTTGGTGCATTTATCATCATCATCATCATCATAACTTTATGCAGAATCTCGGCCAACACAGACAGACACCCAAAGACACACCTCGCATAAAACAACAAGCTCATAAAACACAGCTACAGTATGCCAGTGTTTCCATAAAAGAGACAATTTAAATGTAATCTTTTGAAGATTGATTGGTGTTAGAAAAAACGTAACAACTCCATGTTTCTGCAATGTAAGCGTGCCTGACAACAACAAAAAGTCACTATATAAAAAGTGAATATACATGTATATAACATTAGTAATTGATAATACTTAATAAAACATTACAATTGTACCCATACAATCCCATTTACTTAAGTGATCAACAATAACAACGGAGCCATCATTACAGAGCTCACGTTTTTGATCTTATAACGATTAACTTTGAATTGCCGTTTTCTATCAATTACTGGCTCCATTCTTATTTGTCTCATGCACTTTTCTCCTTGTTGCTTATTGCAGCTTACGCCATGATTGGGTTTATATAGAGAACTAACAAAAGAAAAACATCCGGTTATAAAAGTGAAAATGAAAGACTATTCATTTAATCCATAATCACACGTAAGCAACACTGACATTGCAAGTATACGCAGTGCAATCAACCGCACGTTAATATGTCTTAAGCTCAGACGCAGATGCAACAGGTTTTGATGCTCCGTGGACATGTTTTCGCTCGCCACATGAGTTCGATCGATGTCCTGCCGTTTCCACACTCTCACAGACCTCAGCTGTGACGCAGGAGGGGGGCCATCGCACAGACCTCTGCCTTAACCCTATTTTCACACACTACAATGAGTCCATGTCTCATTCTCACGTGGGGATTCACTCTATGACGTTTTCAACACTGTCAAAAAAGGAAAATACTGCACACACCCTGGTCTTTTTTAGCGCTAGGGCACATAAAAAACAGTCTTTTTAATAAACAACAGAATCAAACTTGTTTTTAATGTCGAGAAATGAAGACAAGACACCGGCGATCGCACCTGTTACCCGGTTTATTTTTGAGTTAGAACAGATCAAACAAAAGGACAAAGCTTTTTATATGATTTGTATCAATGTGCATACAAACAGAGATGCAGTGTTGCCAACTCCTCAGTAAGGAAAGTAGCTATTGGCTGTCCCAAAAGTCGCTAGAAGTCGCTAAATGACGTCATCGCCTAATTTGCATAATTGGCCATTTGCAAATAACTATAACGGACGCTGTAGGAGAGAGGAATATCGTTGTGGGAGAGACAAAAGTGAGTAAAAAACACCCTAAATATGTTTAGAACTACAAATGTACAAAAATAATTTCAACATTAACAACATTTAATGATTTTAATGATTTGTCTAGATCCACATTACACACATCAGTTTTGTCCTGTATTGTTAAATGTTATAACAGAAAATGTAATCAAAAGATTGTTATGTAGGGTGAAATTGCTAGCTCTACAACCAACCCTCCTCCTTTATCCGGGCTTGGGACCGGCAAAGTGACCCAAAAGACACACTCTGGCAGAGTTACTTAGGTTTATTTTTGTAAGTTTTTTTTTTTTTTCATAGTTTGGCATAACAAATGATTTAATGTGACCCACTACTGAGAGAAAACAGAGTCACGGACAGAGCTGCCGCGGATGGAGTGGGGGGTAGTGGGGGGTGGCGGTGGTAGGAGTGGCCGGGGAGCTTTGGATGTGTGGTGGTGGTGGAGCTGAAGTTCAGTCTGCAGCAGCCTGAAAACTTCCTGTGCTTTTGAGTCTCCTCTCTCTCTCTCTGCTCCGCCCATAGACTGTAGCTGGGACTGCTGCGCAAGGCTACTGTGAGACTGGCCGCCTGTAAGTGCTTTGGGACGGGGGAGGGGCTCACGTTGAGGACAGCAGAACAATACGTGCTTCACGAGTCTCCAAAACACCAGATAAGTCGCCAAAACACCAGATAAGTCGCCAATAACACCAGAAAAAGTCGCTAGATTTGTCGCTAGTCGCTTTTTTGAAAAAAAGTCGCTATAGGGGTCTGAAAAGTCGCTAAATCTAGCGACAAAGTCGCTAAGTTGGCAACACTGCAGAGATGTCATCACTAGAGATATGAATGTAGTAACAATGTGGGTCAGAACTAATACATTCAGTTCTTTAGATAATAATGTTAAGCAGTAATACAGAAAAGGCAAGGCAAGTTTATTTGTAAAGCACAATTCATACACAAGGCAACTCAAGTGCTGAATAAAATATGATAGCATTAAAATCATAAATAATCACGGCACTTTAAGAAGAAAGATCAAAATATAAAATCCCTCAGTTGTATGAACAGCTGAACAGAACTTTTTTTAACCTGGTTTTAAACATTGTCAGAGAGGAGGCCTGTCTCACACTTTCAGGAAGATTGTTGCAGATTTTAGCAGCATGAATCTGAAAAGCAGCCTCCCCATGTTTAGTCCTGACTCTGGGCACTAACAGGAGTCCAGTCCCTGTGCTCCTCAGAGTCCCGGTCGGTTCATACGGTACTAACATGTCACTAATATATTTTGGTGCGAGACCATGGAGAGATACAGTATATTAGGTCCACAGCACAAAACATGCAGGTCATAACGCACAACTGGAAGAGGGTAGGAGATTGACTGATTATGTGCAGGTAGGATTGTTTGTAGTAATAAAAAAAAAAAACAGAAATAACTGTTATTTTATAAACTTCTATCAGCCCGAAGTTATCCCATAGCCTCAATTCTCAGAAAAACACAGGAATTGATACCAAAAACCCTGGGGCACCCTTTTCTTAAACGGCGGCATGGGCTGGTGTGTCAGGACAACTCGGCATTCAACAGCCTTGTGACCTAGTCTTTTTGCCAAGGTGTATTCTGTGGTTGGCTCAATGCAACCAAATTAAGTTCGACAGCAATATAACCAAACTGCTTTCTAGCCCATTGCCTTAATGTGGGTCAGGTGAAAAAGGTTTTAAAACTCCAAACAAGTCAAATGAGGGACAATACTTTCTGTCTGTTTGGATGAATGTTTCTCTGTGTTTGTAGACATGTGAGCTGGGCCTCAGACAGATTTCCTCTTGAGGACAATTATGTTTGTTTAATAAAATCTAATCTAAATCGTGCTCCACTTTGAGAAGATTTCCTCACGCGATGGCCCGACACTTTGGCTCTCTTAAACGTCTCATATACTGCACCATTCCTTTGTCTTTTTTATTCAAAGTACAGCATTGTAGTATTTGGCGGACAATTAAGTGCATGTGTTTGTAAACATTTTTTACCCATTTAGACCGCATTGGATATAAACTGCAGGTTTTCATGTTCAAAACTTAACCAAAAGCTGAAAATCAAAAAAGACTATTTAACAATTAAAATGATTAAATGTTGTGTTTCAACGCACTGAGTCAAAATAATAACTCTGCTCTGACCAGAATCATAAACAGAAATAAAAAGTTCTGTTATTGAAAGTGTTCTATGTCATCAGCTCTGAAGATTCAAGAAGAGTTCAATCTGATCCTACACCGCAGGGGGCGCTCTAACAAAATGATAATATATAAATTGGCCGCATTGCGATATAGGCTGCAGAGATCCAAGAACTTGGAAAAAGTGGTTTAGGTTTAAAGCCACACACATGACCAAAGAAGTTGCATTCATGTGACATCACAACTTTCCAAAGGGCCTACAGTTTAAAAATGCAGCTGAAAACGACAGTGACTCAGTTGGTAGAGCATTGGCCTGTGAGCCTGAAGGTCGTGGGTTCGATCCCACTGTGAGACCTTCTCCACCGACTCCACTGATGTCTGCTGTCGTTGTGTCCTTGGGCCTGACACTTAACCCGCTTTGCCTACAAGGAACGCGGAAGTAATGTTCGCTGCTTGCCTTGATGTGTAAATGTATATGTGTATGTGTGTATGTGTATGTGTCAAATTGAAATGTCCCCATTGTGGACGAATAAAGGACTTCTATTTCTAGAAGAAGGTCCTAATTTATTTCCTGGTAGCTTGTCTTAGATTAGAGCAAAAGTCTCTGTAAGTCCTGAGCCAATCAATACAACAACAAAAAAAGAAACATGCACAACGTTGGCCTGTAAGAAAAACCTTCAGACTTCAGAATAACTCAGAATAACTCAGAATAACTAGTGCAGTGCCCAAAGCAAGAGTGTTTTACTTTAGCACTATAGGGTGGTATTGTGCAATACAACTAAAAGCCCTTCTTTCTCAGTCTGGAGTTTACTTGAATAATTGACAGTTTCTCACCTCATCAAAGCGGTCGAACAGGGCCCCCTCCTGCATGAACTCGGGCAGGGCCCTCTGCCAGTTAAATTCATAGGACTTGGTCATGGCTGCTCACACACCTGCAGACAAACAAAAATGTATGTTAGAAAAAAATGAAAGATGTCAATGCAACTGGAGGCTCAAACATCTACTTTTTGGAGAGTTTACATACTATCCCTTTTCATTCACAAGTCACAGCTTTAGAGCAGCTTTTTGAGACTGAATGTGATGTAGAGATAGTTCAGCTCTAAAACAAAGGAGTTATTAGGCCTTTTCACACAGCAGACCCATGTTTTTGACTCATGCTGATATGCTGTGTTGACCCAAAACCCAGTGGGAAAGGTTGGTGTGTTGTTTGGACTTAAACAAACAGGTATGACCCCAGATTTTATGAATGACAAATGGGAAACAACTATTTGTTTTAGTTCAAGTCATTTTTTATTAGATTCAAGTCATATTTGCACTGTTCCGAGGTGGAGATCGTTGTGGCCTCGTCACAAGATAAGGTCAAAGTATTGAGTAGGATCACAAAAGAAAACCATCCACATTCAATAAGCAATCATGTCAGGAATGATTTGAGTGCACTGTAAACAATTCCAGCCACTGCGGAGAAGCTTTGGTGTTTATGTCTACGGCTAAAAGCAATAGGGCTATAATTAACCATTCTTTTGATTAATCAATTAGTTGTTTAGACCGCAAAAGGTCAGTGAATATTCATATTGGACCAAAACAAAGTACTTCACTTTAAAGTTATAACATGCACATTTTAATTCAATGAATTAATTCTGAGGCCTTGTTCAGTCCCTGTCCCGCTGGTTGGGAAACGCAGTAGGAGAAAAGGTACAGGGGCAGAGAGGCGGCGGACATAATGGACAGGACAAGAGGTGGGTGGACAAAGATGGATGGAGGCGGCTGCTCGTGACAGAACTTAAAAAGCTGCAGGGAGAAAATGTTAGGGTGCTGCAAGTCGCATTCACTTCTAACGCCTCGGTATTTTGGATTTCAACAACAACATTAGAAAGTCAAGTCAGACGAAATAAGAACAAATGTTCGTTGGCATTTTACATTTAGAACATAAAACTGTCTGTACAATGATATACTTATATATATTCAGCCACACTTCTAACAGTCTAAAATTTAATAACTACATTGCAATGAACAGATTTTTTTCCTTTATATAGATATGAATAATTGTAATACAAATATTTTGAGCAAACAAAGAATGAGAAGGCCAGAAAAAAAGGATCTGTTTTTTACAGTACTTGTATTGTTTTGTAAACGTACTCAGCGCTTATCTGCTTCCATATCAGACCATCTCAAGTGCTCAAATTCAAAGTCAGCAGGAAACAGACCTCACGTCTTTTACACGTCTCCTACCATTTCCTGATGAGAGATGAGCTGAGAGAGATGGACGAGCGGAGCAGCTGCGCCTGACAGAGGAGTGTGTGTATGAGGGAGTCACCATCAAAGACCGCATCACCAACAGGCCGTCTCCTGGGTGGGCCACCGGATTGCACAGAAATACCACGCCAAATGCAGAGAGCTCGAATAAAAGGGGTCATTAAGAAGAGTATGATTAAAGAAAGAACAGCCGCAAATGACACGGCCCACACAGAGTTATTAAAGGGGGCTGTAAGTGTAAACGAGAACTAAGGTACATGCTGAGAGCTGTAGCCTTTATAGTCTATACAAAAGGAATTGTCAGAGCAGTGGTTTCGTGATTGCAAGAGAGATGAAGATGATTCAAACGGACAGAGATCACTGAATAGAACTTCAATGAGAAGCAACGCCAATTACAGCGAGTGTATATTAAAGCCGCACAAAGCTCACCACAGTCGAATCTGCAGACGTCAAAGATGATGTGGAAATGAACAAATTAAAAAGCAGCTTTAATATGCTAAATAAAAAACTAGAAATTATACTTTTTTGCAAATGTACATGTAAGGATTGTTATTGATGATGCCCAAAAAGAAAAAGTTCAACAAAATATATGTATAATCACTTGGAAACCTCACATAAGTTACCTGAGGGCAAAATTCAAGTAATTTCAATTTATTATAGCCCTAAATGTAGGAATCGCAGATGAGAGAACTTGAGTTTCTAGTTACTTTGATCTGTTCATGACACAGTTTATGCTTTGACAGAGCAGATGTCAGGTCCAGGGCCCTCAGTCTGCTGTTTGTCTCAGGATAACTTCATCAACAGTTTATAGAGGTGTGGGTTGCATCAAAAGCCAAAGTGTCCGAGCAGAGAAGCATCAGTGGGGACGCGCACAGGCTAATTTGGAGTAATTGGGTTGTGCTGTCCTGCCTGATGTTAACCTAGATCTCCCCTCTCTCTGTGCGTTAGATAACATGTTCCTTTGTGTCCGGGCTCCACCAATCAGATCAGAGCCTGGCGAGGTGCTGTAAAGGCGACATAAATAAAACTTGCTGTGTGTTCATTACTGTACAGTAGTTAGCACAATACAGTATGACCATCTCACTCAAGAGTTACAAGGCTGAAAACACAGACATGTGATTTTCAAACCAATGAATGGGCAATACTTTTGTTCTAAAAGGCAGAAAATGCTCCGAGTGTGATGTCATAGTGGTACAATGACATCATACTATTACAGGACTGAGACAGGATCTTTTAGACAGAAGGGGAGGAGGTACACGTGTGTGCCATATGTTCCTGATTTCAGCGTGGATGGATCTAAACACAGCTTTAGGTCTGTGATTAATGAGAGAAAAATATTGTAAGATGAGCTAAGATAAGATATAACTTTATGGAGGGGAAGCAGTAGCTCAGTTAGAAGAACATCTGTCTTCCAAGTGCGTCGGTTTTCCAACTGAGCTGTTGCCCCTCAATATGATGTCTGCTATTGTTGAGTCCCTGGGCAAGACATTTAACCCCGCTTTGCCTGAAGCCCCCACAGAAAGATCACCACCTGCAGAAGGATCAGCGAGGAGCCAGAGTTTAATTAACATGTCAGCTCTGATTGCCACGTCCCCGACCCAGAAACGGATTAAGGGGATGAAAATGGATGGATAAAACTTTATTGATCTCACAAACGAGAAATGTCCATGTCACATTTGGCATCAATGCAATCTCAAAGGGAGTGCACGAGGCAGGAAATGAGCAAACAGGAAATGTGCAAAAAAAAAAAGTGAAGATTCTAACCTCCTAAAAGCTGTTTACATTGAGGTTTACTGAATTGATAACATTTTGCGTCTAAATAATCAAATTGTGACTAGAATGAGCCAGTTTATCTATATCCTGATGACGACGCACATAACAGGACTCTAGCCCACGTGAGGAGACCAGGGAAACCCCACAGATTCAGAGTCCAGAGTCCAAACCAATCTCTGCTGTTTAAGTCCATGCTCCAACCTCTGAGATAATTACGACATTCGTCATTCCCTCCAGACAAACGGCTCTCGGTCTCCTCTTCCAAAACAGCTTTGAGTGGTCCCACACCTCATAAACTAAAATTAGCCAGCCGTCAGTCAGCGCTGTTGAGGTAGACCGGGGACAAGCGTGAAAATCCAGCGAACAATACAAGGCAGAACCGTGACGTAACTGCTACAAGAGTCACTCGGCGGTCTTCGCATCAGTTTGGAAGAAGAGTGCCTTTTAGTCAGCTAGGCTATTCAATCCGTGTTCCATCTGAGCTAAAATCAGAAGGTTGTTAAATTTTCATCAAGGAGAGTTATTTCAAACCGGATCCATTGCCATCTTTTCAATCACAAAAACAAGATAATGGAGATGGCGTCAGTACAACAAGGTCTCCAAAATGTGTCTTCTTTTCAAGCCAATATTAAATTAAATTTGTTACCTAAAATGGCAAATGTTGTTTTGATCCTGCACCATCCTAAAGGCTATAGCTTCCGTCATCGCATTGTAAGGTACACCTAATTACCTGTAATTACCTAATGTGTTGTGCCCTATTATACTCAAGTCATAAAGTATTTTGTGTACCTGCTTAAAGCGTGGGTCCCAACCTGTTTTTCTCCGTAACAATACTATTTGTTTGTCATGTAAAATGCTGAAAACAGATCAGACCACAACATTCTGTTTTCATTAGTAAATAAGAAAACCATTTATCCATCCATCCATCCATCCATCCATCCATCCATTTTCTTCTGCTTCATCCGTTGCCTGGTCGTGGGGGCAACAGTCTAAGCAGAGACGCCCATACTTTCCTATCTTCCACGCTCATCCGGGGGAATCCCAAGGCATTCCCAGGCCAGCTGAGAGACATAGTCCCTCCAACGTGTCCTGGGTCTTCCCCTGGTCTCCTCCTGGTTCCTTGATCCCGATTTCAGGCACATGTTCCTCAGCTATGTAAGAGAAAATGTCCAAAATCCCAAAGATTTTGGACACCACATGTTTAGGGTGTGCCAAAATATGGACATTTCAATATATACAGTATTTCAATAATGTGTCTCAATCAACAAATTATTGATATGCAAAATCAACATCAGTTAACAAAAATAGCCTTCTCAAGTTGTTTCAATCCAAGTGAAGCCCGACTGTTCAGAAAAAAATATAATAATAAAAAATAGTATGAATAAATAAAATTGTCCAGATTCCAGCCAAAGTGATATTTTCTGTTTTTATTATTGGATGGATGGATGGATGGATGGATGGATGGTAATGAGTATTGGGGTAAAAAAAACAAAAAAGTCAAATTTTCTTTGTCTGATACATAAACCCTTGACTAATACAATTCAAAACAAAGTAACATCGATCACTGTTGAAGTTCCTATCCCAAAAAAGGCGTCAATTTTCTCTTTTTCTGCTCAATCCAAGAATATTTTCACTTGATATTCACATCCTCCTTGTTTTTACCTTGTATGGCTGTGCTCCAAGGCCCTGTAGTCTGGGTCCTGTGGCCTATTTGCTTTGCCTGTGTACATACTAGGAGCAGGGGTTCAAAAAATTAAATAATCTTTGTGTCAATAAATTTCCTTCCAACATGGAACTCCAGCACAGAGTAATAAGGCATGAGCAAACTCTGGACAGGGGCCAGCGCTGCTCTGTCTTCCAGCCTTTTGATACAGAATACATCACAGTGAGCC